CTAAAATATCAGGAGTGTAATTTAACTGATGTGTTTTATGTTGTAGAGTAAGACATGAAAGTATCTTGAGTTTGAGTTTGTATTAGCCACAAACCTTATTTAAGTGATTTAAACAAAATCCCATTGAAAAACCCATTGAGTTTGGGACGAGAGAATCTGAACTGCTAAAATGCTAACTCACTTCTGGGTTTTTGCATACAAATTTAAGTCATAGTTCCCCCGCTCTATTTACAGGAAGCTTGCCAAGATGTTAGTTTGGGTACCAAATCCCTATTTTAAAACCTTAAATATAGATAATCATAGTCTACAGAATTTATTGAAGAATAATAGTGGGTAAAAAGTCCAATTTCTTAGTATTGATTGTGATGGGTTATTAGTGATCGATTATATAAAAAAATCACAGTAGTCTGAATCAGTTGACATATTTAAATCAATCAATCACAAATATTTTTATATCATTCTTCATTTATATAGCAACGTACTACAATCAAAGTTGCCCTAAGTCAATTATAACAGATACACAATAATACATATTCATATAAATAAAATGGAGTCTGTGATATCACAATCACACTAAATTATATTGTGTTCTTAGGCATTGTAAGAGCAAAAAAGTCATCTTCAACTGACACCTAACACTATTTATACAATCACCAGTGAGTTTTCTCGCATTTGGTGCTTGTATGTGTTAATTCTGGGCCCAGAGTATACACATAAAATCTCTCAAAAGTACTAGGAAATATTGAAGTGAAATATTATTAAATGTATCAGCAGTTGGTCCATGGAGACACACATTGATTCAGGATTTCTAGAGTTGGAACTACTATATTTCGATCTTCCATACAAGTTTTGAATGATTTAATTAGTAAGAATTCAGTGATGCCTGAATCCTCATGAGGAGCAAGCAGAATTGGGTGCACGCTAGTATATGCTCTCCCACACATTCCTCTGGGTTGTGCTCGACACCGGCAGCATACTGATGCTATCAGCAGCCTTTCCTCAGGGCTGCTGCACTAGAATAATCTCCAGCGTTCTCTCATCACTTAGCAACGCGCACTCGCTCTCAAAAGAGCTTTTGTGCTTGCTTTTGCTCAGCGCTCTCCCATGGAGCTACTTCACCCACTGTGCAGCACATTGACTGAGCTACAGACACACAGGAAGAGATGTGTTTAATAATTTGTTTTCGACAGCAGAATTTGTTAAATTGTCACTGCTGGTCAGTAGGTTAAAGCCTATTCACACTAAGAAAACTACATTAGCTTCTACATCAAAATCATGTTTATTGTAATCAATTCTATTATAAAAATGCATTGCAGTCTGGCATTGTTGTTCAAGCTCTTTAATGCAGAAGGGAATCTGATAGGGTATATGCACAGCTAGTGTTTTGGGCAAGATAAATGTGATGATTTTCAATTTTATATGGTTCCTTTTACACAGTGGTTTAACGTAATTAATTACAAATACTCAGGTTACTGTAATTGAGTAGTTTTTCTCAGAAATTGTAATTTACTGAGTAGTTTTAAAAATGTGTACTTTTACTTTCCTTTGAGTACATTTTTAGTGCTGTATCTGTACTTTTACTCCACTACTTTCCTTCAACCTGCAGTCACTACTTTATTTTTTTCTTGTTTATGGGGATTAGAAAAATCAATCCTGTAATTTCTGTCCAATCAACTCACACATGGAAGGTAAACTGCATCATAATGAACTACCTCAAGACATGTGCACTTTACATTGCAGCAAACTGTTTGGAAGCATTAAAAGTGTCCAAGAAGATGTTCAAAATCTTTACACGCATTGACCCAGAGACTGTTTAGATCAGGGATGCCCAAACACAGTCCTGGAGGGCCGATGTCCTGCAGATTTTAGCTCTGCCTTGCCTCAACACACCTGCACGGATGTTTCTAGAAAGCCTGGTATGAGATTGATTAGCTAGTCGATGTGTGTCTAATTAGGATTGGAACTAAACTTTGCAGGACACCGGCCCTCCAGGACCGAGTATGGGCACCCCTGGTTTAAATGCTTGTCACTGATGAGAAGATGATGGATATTTACTGTATGATGACCGAAATGGCCTTTAACACCCAGCAGACACAAGACGTCAACATGCCGTCAGATTGAAATTGTACCCTAATGTTGTGGAGACGCTGCATTTTGTTTGGAAATGAAAATCGGGTTTACATCAGAACTCAACGTCAGCCTGATGTCAATGTGCAATGTCCAACCTAAAACCAATCCAAAATCAACGTCTAATGATGTTACAGCTTGACGTTGTGTCGGCGTTACCACTATGACATCTATCAGATGTTGAATTTTGGTTGCCATACCTGATGAATAAATGTCAGTATTTGACGTCATATATATTTGACATATATGATGTTGATTTAAGATGTTGGCTCGACGTTGGATTTTGGTCTCTTTCTAACAACCTCAAATCAACCAAATATCAAAGTCATTAGACATCATTATCGGACATCAAAATAATGTTGTCCTTAGACGCTGACTAGACATTGAATTTTGGTCACCTGACATCACAACCTAAATCTAACCTAATATTAACGTTTTATGACATTGTGTGCCTGCTGGGCAATAACTAAATGCACTACAGAATGTTACGTTTACACACACACATCCACAAATTACAATGCTTTAACTTTTAACAGCCTAATACTCACTACTCACTACTCATGAGTACTTTAAAAAGGGCTACTTTTTTCTCCTACTTTGAGTAATATTTACAACAGGTACTTTTACTCTACTCACACTACATTTTTAAGGCAAGTAATGGTACTTTTACTTAAGTATGCTTTTTCAGTACGCTTCCCACCACTGCTTTTACAGCATGGATGTTGCAATGTAATTAAAATAAAATCAATTATATAGAGAGCATATTTTAGCTTTTATGTCTTATGTTTTATATTTTGTTACAGACATCCTGCAACTGTTTTGCAGCATATGAAATGTCCCAAACACTATTTTAACTGTCTAAAATGGGCAAAAAATGTTGTTTGTACTGATAGTCAGAACATGTCAAAAAATATGTGTATGCGTTATTATTGCATTAAAAACAGTCAGGAAAAAAACTGCTGTGTTTAAATCAGAAATAAAATATCTTTATATCAAAGGAGAAAATTACATCTGTACTTATTTATTTTATTTTAAAGGCTCTCTTAGGTAAGTGACCATCCTATCTTTCTAATTTGTTAATATTTCACATAAATAACCAACACACTAGATCTGGTTCTTGTGTTCGTTTAACAGTCCAAAGGGTATTGTTAGAACTTGGCAAACGTGCTTTTTCCTTTTATGCTCCCAGGGCTTAGAATGATCTGCAAAATCAGCTCAATCTTAAAACACTTCTGACTCTGAGTACTTTTAAACATCTTCCGTACAACATCTCAGAAGATACTAGTAATTGTTTTTTAAGATCTGATGTTTTTATGAATGGTGATTTTGTAATTTTGTGGTATTGTTTTTGTGATTTTTATGTAAAACTTCATGTGCTGCCTGCCATCTTGGCCAGGTCTCACTGGAAGAAGAGACAGTACTGTCTCAATGTGATTTCCTGGCTAAAAAAAGGAAATAATAATAATAATAATAATAATATAGCTTTTCATTCTATTACAGAAAGGTGACTTTATTGTGTTTTATGGACATCCGGTACACGAGTCCACATATACGGAAATAATTTTTCTCTAAAAGTACATCATATCAAAGGATGATACTTAGGTTTTATTCTAATTAGGTTCCAAAAAGCCCAAATAGCATAGAGAAATAAAAAATGCATGTAAAAAAAAAACAGCTTGGACCTTAAGAGGTTAAGCATTCAGTTGTTGAAGCGTAAAATGAGATGAAAAGCCGTTTAAACCCAGGCGCCGTCAGGAGCAGCAGTAGAAAATACTGGAGTAAAATAAATGTTTATATTTTAAAGACATGGCATGGAACATTGTAATTTAATGCAGTGCTTCTTACAATCTGAGAGCCACTAGATATTTTACAGCAATCAAGCAGTAAAGATGATTGGTTTTTAAAGAAAACAGAGCCTAAACGTTGTGATTTATTAACGCCATACAGTTCACTGGAAGTGCTTGACCTGGGTTACTGAAAATGAAAAGTCCTTCTGCATATACCCTATTGGATTTGCATACTTTGGTCTACTTTTTGCAATAAATAATCAGCTCAAATGGGTGATGGGTGGCACGGTGGCCCAGTGGTTAGCACTGTTGCCTCACAGCAAGAACATCACTGGTTCTAGTCCTTACCAAGCCAGAAGACGTTTCTGTGCCGAGTTTACACATTCTCCCTGGGCTCACGTAAGTTTCCCCCGGTTTCCTACCACCATCCAAAAACATGAAACTTAAGTTAATTGACTAAACTAAATCGGCACCATGGACATGCTCCTAGTAAGTAGTTATCTCTTAAGAGCAATCACTATCTGTTCATTAGCCACTACAGCAGGGGAGTTCTCGAGATCTACCTGAGCTCAAACTCCCCTCTCGCCTTGCAAACGGGAGGGAGCCCCAGGCTCGAGGATCTTATGAGCTCAGGGCTCTCTCCCGGGACAGCAAGCTTTACAATCAATCATCAGCTAAGTGTGAACTCTTGAAAGATGTTTTAAATGTATTCCAATTTAAATCAGTGGTGCTTGTTATTTGTGTGTGTAAATAAGTGTGCCCTGAACTGATTTATGATGAAAGAGTCAAGTTGAAACAGAAAAGAATCGATTTAATTTTAAATGTCTTACAGATAAATAACACATATTGAGGAATTGACCTCCACAGGAGAAAAAAATCAAATACTATAGAAGTCAATAGTTACCTTATTTTGTGTTCAACGTTACGAAATGAGTAAATGATGATAGAATTTACATTTTTAGGTGAGCTATTCCATTAACATGTCTTGACTGTTAAAACATTTAGTTTAAGCGTTTTCTAAAGCAGTGATTGATGTCAATAAAAGGTTTTTCATGAGAATTTCCTTTGCATTTTTGTACTTCTCAGGCATTCATTGTGACAGTGTGTGTGCTGAGGGCCGCTGGGGGCCAAACTGCTCTCTGTCCTGTAACTGTAAAAACAGTGCGTCTTGCTCACCTGATGAAGGTGCATGCGAGTGTGCACCTGGATTCAGAGGAACCACCTGCCAACACAGTGAGTAGTCAAACAGATTGTGTGTTTGTGTTCATATGTCTGTCTCTTTTGACGACATGTCTGTTTTCTCATTTCTCCTTTACTCCTGGTGTTCTCTTGATGTCTTCCCAGTCTGTTCTCCGGGTGTCTTTGGCCACCGCTGTAGCCAGGCATGTCCACACTGTGTCCACAGCAATGGCCCCTGTCACCATGTGACCGGCCAGTGTGAATGTCTACCTGGTTTTAAAGGGGCACTCTGCAACGAAGGCAAGAAAAGTCCCTCATATTCATTACCTCAGTGTACTTGCATACAATATTCAAGCCCTCATATACTCACAGCAAAGTTTTTGTTTAGAACAAGAACAACAAAAATTTCAGCGATGAGAAAACAGCAGTTAAAATAGCACATGATGTTGATATGTTTAGCTCTTTAAATTGCTGTAATGCAAGCAGTTTTAAAATAAAATGACTGTGTTGCTTTTAATTAAAAATAAAGTACACTTTCAATCTGACTGTTAAGCAGCAATTTAGCCTTTGCAGAATATATTTTGCTTGTGGATGTTTGACTTCATTGGCTTGAACATAGGAGATAAATAAGATTGTTTTACCAACTTTTGTCTAATTATTAAAGGTGTTTACCAGACAAAGTGAACTCTTCTGGCATGCTGACTCAAACCCCTGAAACTCTAATGTTGTTTCAAGTGACATAGCGCCAGTTCTTTCTGATGTATATCAGGGCCTTCTGTCGCAGTGAAAAGAATAACTGTGAAGTTTGTCTTTTGCATGGCGTTTATTTTCTCATTTTTTGGACATTTTTCATTTTTATTTTTCCAGTACCTTGTAGTAGTCCTGATTATGTCACTGGACTGTAGTTTTCATACTCTTTGTTTGTCTGTTTATCTTCAGTGTGTCCCAGTGGCAAGTTTGGCAAGAACTGTGGAGGGAGCTGCACCTGCACTAATAATGGCACTTGTAGCCCCATGGACGGCTCATGTCAGTGCTATCCCGGCTGGATTGGCAGTGACTGCTCACAGCGTTAGTATCATATACCTTACCATACCGTATACCACACTACCCTTTCAACCAAGTGATCAGTTTTTGTTTTGTTGGATACTTTATTGTCCTCTAAGGAGGAATTTTAGTGGGTGCATACAGTAGCTTTTCTGCATAGTCATATATAATAAATAATAATAAAAAAAACAAAGAGAAAAAAAAAAGAAAACAAATACAGTTGAAGCCAGAATTATTAGCCCCCCTTTGAATTTTGTTTTTTATTATAAATGTTTCCCAAATGATGTTTAACAGAGCAAGCAAATTATCACCGTATGTCTGATAATATCTGTTTTATTTCGGCTAGAATAAAAGCAGTTTTAAATAAAAAAAAAAACAATTTAGGGTCTAAAATATTAGCCCCTTTTTTCGATAGTCTACAGAATAAACCTTCGTAATACAATTACTTGCCTAATTACCCTAACCTGCCTAGTTAACCTAATTAACCTAGTTAAGCCTTTAAATGCCACTTTAAGCTGTATAGAAGTGTCTTTAAAAATATCTATTAAAATAGTATTCACTGTCATCATGGCAAAGATAAAATAAATCAGTTATTATAAATTAGTTATTAAAATTATTATGTTTATAAATTTGTTGAAGAAATCTTCTCTGTTAAACAGAAATTGTAGAAAAAAATTAACAGGGGGGAAAGTAACTGACTTCAACTGTATATAGACATGCCTGATTAATGTTTAACAGTCTGATTGGGATTGGACTCTATGTTTTCTGTCAGAGGGTTAGAGATCATAACATGCACTGCAAAAAAATGCTGTAAAATGTACAGTATTCCTGGCAATTTTGGTTGTCAGTAATACTGAAATATTTAAAACTGCACTGTAAATGAACTGTACCAGTGTCTGGTATGGTATAGAGTGTTGGTTTATTCTTTTAGACCTATAAGTTCCTGTTGGTTTGAACAAAATAAAAATGTTTAGATTTAAAATTTACAGGTTACTGTACCATGTGGGTAAACCATACTTGATGACACTCTTAAATATGGACTGATAAAAAATACATAATTTTGCTATCAAATGCAAAAACATAAAGCCTTTGGGGGGTTTTCACAGACCGAGTTAATATAAATGATCCCATGTAAGTGATTTATCCATATACTGAAAAAAATATTGGTTAATTAACAATTTACATCTTTTATTGACATTTTATTTGTTTGAAATAATATAGTTTATAAGAAATACCATATAGAGAAATATCTGTGATATAACAGAAAATGTAATAGCAGTTTATTACAAGGTTTTTGTCTTATAATATACAACATCAACCGAGACTACATATATCGCTTTAAACTATTAAAACTGTTAATAAACTTTTCCACACTAAAAAATGTTGGAAGAAAGATCAAGGTCTCATAGTGCTATTAAAATGCGTAAATAAATGGTAACATTAAAAAAAAAATTACAAAATACTGAAAACAGATTTTTTTTTTACAGTGCACATTTGTGGTTGCACCTGAGTAATTTCTGGATTCTGAACAAATACTGGCATCAAAACTTATTTCCTTTTTTTATTTATTTCAAATTCTTTATACTCTTGCTCTGTCAGATTCCGCTTTAAACAAATATTAATGTTTGATTTGCATGTTTTGTAGTTTCATGGTTCAATCTAAATTGACACTAAACTAAATTGTTTCTCTAGGTTTATGGCTATCAGGGGATTTACTTGTTGGCCTTACTTACTATTTAAGAGATTGTGGCTGTCTAGACACTTTCTCTCATATCAACCACAGCTCTGCAGCTGTCAGTGTTGAATCGCTGGGTCAGGTTGGTTTGGAAGGACATGGGCTGTGGTTGTGGCATGTCCTCAGATCTTTTCAAAGCGAATTCGTTGCAGCTGTTCACTAGTCTGATCTGATCTGATCTGCTTTTGTGATTTGAACACAGATGTTCACAAATGATAGCTGAGGTGTTTAATAAAGCAGTCGAGTGAGCACTTTTCAAATAATTAATTTGATATGCGAGTATTATCTTACTGAAGACATGCACTATAACTAGTGCTTTGTAAATTAGAGACAATTTTCTTTGTCCCATTAGGAGATTTTCTTTCATTTATTCAACTTATGGAAGTCACTCAGTTTTTGAACGTTTGCTGTCTATTGCTAAGCGCTCTTCATCCCCTTCGTGTGATTTTAATTTCATTAGTATCCATGGTCTCTAGCGCCCCCTGTCGATCGTATGTAAGTAATGTTAATAAATAAATGATCGTAAGTAATGTTAATAAAACGCAGATGCACTGCTAATGTTATAATCAGCTTGCGAATTGGGTGGCTTGACACTTTTTCTTGTAAATTAGGTGTTTGTAACTACATATAAAGAGTTCAGATGCAAAAACCTCTTAGTGCCATCTGAAATTTTCTTCTAAAATTAGCATTTTTTTCCGAGACTCCTATATTTATGTTCACTAATTTCACATTAAAGGCATTGAAAATAGCATATTAATTGACATAAAAGGGAAATTACTCAACTTATACATAGTAGCTTGGAGAAAAATTCAGATGGCATTTAGAGGTTTTTGCATCTGAACTCTTTATATGTTTTTAAAAATTCACTGTATATTTTATGTTAAAAACAGGGTATCTTTGGTCATTTTTTTTTTGTTAAAACAGCCCGTCACTCTTAGAATCCAAACAATATCTCATTTATTCATTCGTTCATTTCTTTTCGGCTTAGTTCCTTTATTAATCTAGGGTCGCCACAGTGGAATGAACTGCCAACTTATCCAGCACATGCTTTACGCAGCAGATGCCCTTAATAAACAATATCTATCAATCAATAAAAAATAAGCTTGATCAACAAATGTGATACATTCATTCATTCATTCATTTTCTTGTCAGCTTAGTACCTTTATTTATCCGGGGTCGCCACAGCGGAATGAACCGCCAACTTATCCAGCAAGTTTTATGCAGCGGATGCCCTTCCAGCCACAACCCATCTCTGGGAAACATCCACACACACATTCACACACACACTCATACACTACAGACAATTTAGCCTACCCAATTCACCTGTACCGCATGTCTTTGGACTGTGGGGGAAATCAGAGCACCCGGAGGAAACCCACCCAAAGGCAGGGAGTTCATGCAAACTCCACACAGAAACGCCAACTGAGCCGAGGCTCGAACCAGCGACCTTCTTGCTGTGAGGCGACAGCACTACCTACTGCGCCACTGCGCCACAGGATTCCTTAATTAATTAATCATTTTATTCCCTATTATTAAAAATAACAAGAAATATTTATTGATGATAAAAAATTATTCAATAATTAATGAAGCAAAATAATCTCTAAATAAAGGTCATGTCACCTGAGCTGTTTACATAGACTATAGAAAAGCCTTTGATACAGTTAATCATACTATTCTTTTAAACAAATGTATTTCTTTTAACCTCTCTTCTCCTGCAATAGATATGTTTTTATCATATTTATCCAATAGATCCCAGGTTGTTAAAATTGGTACAACAACATCACAGGCACTAGGTTGTTCTAAGGGTGTTCACAGGGTAGTATTTTGGGACGTTTACCTTTCCTGATGCATATCAATGACCTCCCTCAGGTAATCAGATTCAGATTCTTTATTGAGCGCTGATGATACTGTGCTTTTTGTGTCTGGATCAAGTACAGACTCAATTAATAATAAATTAAATACAGATCTTACATCAATGGCTGCAAGACAATGATTTGACTATTAACGTTAAGAAAACAGATTGTATGTACTATTACTCATCTAGGTGAAAATTATCCATATCCAATGCCATCCCTTTCTCAAATAAAACACTTTTCATTGTATCTACATACTGTATCGATATTTGTGAATCAGTCTAGACTCTCACCTTACTTAATGCGGCCATGTTCAAAATGTCTGTAATAAGCTGAAGCAAAAACCATTTGTTTATGGAAAAATTAGGACAAATTTGTCTCCTTCTGTTTCAGAAATTTATCTTTATTTATACAGCTTTTGGATGTTGTATAAATCCCAGTTTCCAAAAATGAACACTTATGACTTTTATTATCCAGGGTCACAAATTGTAATATTATATCACGATATTTGTATTATTTTATTGACAACTTTTTTTACTGTATCTTTAACCAAAACACTTTGGGATTTGAACATCTTAAACATGCCAGGCTTTTTACCAGTAATGCCAAGTTTATTATTTGTGCTTACCCATAGCATGTCCTCCGGGTCAGTGGGGTCCCAACTGCATTCACACTTGCAACTGTCACAATGGAGCATTCTGCAGTGCTTATGACGGCGAGTGTAAATGTACGGCCGGCTGGACAGGTCTCTACTGCACACAAAGTAAGTACCAAGTTCTTTTGCAATGATTCCCTTTCAATTACTAGCAGCTGTAATTGGTTAGGAAGGTCGATAACATTTGGTCATGGCATTTCCTGTCTTCTTGTCCTGCAGGATGTCCATTGGGTTTCTATGGTAAGGATTGTGTGCAGGCATGTCAATGTGAGAATGGTGCAGACTGCAATCACATCTCGGGTCAGTGCACATGCCGTACAGGCTTCATGGGACGTCACTGTGAAACGAGTCAGTATGGAAAAGAGCTTTTAAACAGTAGTTCTATTATTTGATAATTTACTAGGTATGTACTGTAAGTGTCTGTATCTGATCCAGCATAATTTCTACTCGCTTTCAGAATGTCCTGCGGGTTCATATGGATATGGCTGCCGGCAAGTTTGTGATTGTCTCAATAACTCCACCTGTGATCACATGACTGGCACATGTTACTGCAACCCGGGCTGGAAAGGCACACGATGTGATCAGGGTAATGTTAACAGAGCATTTACAATCAATCAACTTTAGAAGAAAGAAGTTGTTGCTTTATAATTAGTATTTAAACAAACTACCTGCATAATTGTAAAAGTTAATTTAAGTTTAAGTTTTTTTAAAAGAAAATTCAACTAGTTGCTTTTAAAGCGAGGGGTTAACTCACTTTTTTAAAGTAACTAATCACTTTTTACAGTGATAAAGGTACAAAAGCTGTCACTGGGGTGGTACCTTTTTAAAAGATACACATTTGTAATTGAAGGGTCCATATTGGTACACTGTAAAAAAAACTCATGAAAAACAGTTATTTTAAAATTACCGTGAAAAAAACTCAGAATAAAAAATGTCAATAATCTGTAAAAAAAACTGAAAATTTTAAGTTACCATAAAAAAACTCAGAATAAAAAATGTAGATAATCTGTAAAAAACAGTAATTTAAAAAAAACTGTCAGAATAAAAAAATAGATAATCTGTAAAAAAAACAGTAATTTTAAAATTACCGTAAAAAACTGACAGAATAAAAAAAATGTTGATAATCTGTAAAAAAAACAGTATTTTTAAAATTACCGTAAAAAACTTTCAGAATAAAAAATTTTAGATAAACTGTAAAAAAGTAATTTTAAAATTACCGTAAAAAACTGTCAGAATAAAAATTTTTAGATAAACTGTAAAAAAAGTAATTTTAAAATTACCGTAAAAACTGTCAGAATAAAAAAATTTTGATAATCTGCAAAAAAACTGTAATTTCTTGTTCCATTATTACAAGTTATTACTGCCATTTAACTAATTATTACTGCAATTACACAGATTATTACTGTTATTTTACAAATAGTTACTTTAAATATATAATTTATTAATGTAATTATACAGATAATTAATGTGATTATAAGGATTTTTATTGCAATTATACAGGTTATTACTTTAATGTAATTATGCATGAAATCTTTAAATATTCCATAAAATGTTGCACTTTTAACATACCTTTAAAACTGGAAAAAAAAAACTTTTAAAGAATGATTGAAAAAAGTTTAGGTACAATTAATTGCTGTTGTCATAAAACACATATATATGCAAATATAACGATTGAGTATAATATGGTTTATCAAATATTTTAAAGATATGTTGGTTAAACTCCAAAACAATTTTCTTTAAAAAGTACAAAACTGTTATCTACCTAATGTTTTATTTCTTTTTTCAAATAACACATTTGGTCATGTGAGGACGCCTGCACAACAAAGTTGAGGATCAAATAGCAGTTTATTAACAGAATCATCTTGCAATTAAAGGCTGAAACAGGAACAAACAGGTGCTCAGATAATTCCAATCATAAAGGCGGCAAACAAAATAACAAAGAAAAGGGGTCAAACACGGCAAGGGTAGGGAAACCACATCGTAATGCTTACTAAACAGTTTAAGACCCAGAAACGATGTGTCTGTGTCTGCTGAGTTTATAGTCATTGAAATCAAGCCATAACAATCTTCTCAATGTGTGTGTAATCAGTCAGAATTAGGAAGCCGGGTGTGCGAGGTGCATGCTGAGAGTTATAGTTTGTTAAAGTAGCGTGTGTAGTTTTCCAGTGATCTGCAGCTGCTAAATCACTGGTTCACAATCATCCGTTTGCATAGCAACAATATTAGATTATAAACATTTCCTAGTTTACAGTACATGCATTATATGCCGCCTACAAACAATAGACTATTATTTGACTTAATTAACCTCGTGTTAAACTTCATATGTTTACTATATTCACTAAAAACAAATTTGATTGAATTTTTGTTTCTTTATTTTTACAGAAATAATCTGTAAATATTAACGTAAAATTACGTGTTACACTCTAAAAATACATTAAATTTCCTTTAAAAAGCTGAAAAAATAACGTAATACCAAATTACATGCAATAATTGTTAATTTAATATTAGAATATTTTATTATAGAACATACAGTCTCTGTAAAACAACAGTTATTTCACTGTATAATGAAAAAACAGCAAAATTCTGTAAAAAAAAAATACAGACAATTACCTGTAAAATAACATACATTTTTTTACAGTATAACTAAAAAAATTGTATTTGTACCTAAACATTTTAAGATGTGTACTTTCTAGGTATTAATATGTACCCTAGAGATGTGACAGCTCTTGTACCTTTATTTCTGAGAGTGTAGGGTAAACCCATATACTACATTTACTATTAATAAGCACCAAATTTTTTGATGAGTTTTTTGATGAGAAAGTCATAGTTGATGGCAATAATTGCGAGAATTGTACCTTAAAATAAAATGGGACTGATACAAGATGCTTCCAATGTAGCTACACTGATTACAATAGGAGCCATCTGCATCAGTCACGCACAATGAGGTGTTTTGTAAATGCAAGAAATTGTTTCTTATCTTTGACTGTGATGCTGCTGTTTTATGTGTTTCTCAGCTGGAGGGAATATTGCAGAAAGTCCCAATAGTTTGACAAGCGCAGCTCTGCCTATGGATTCATATCAAATTGGCGCAATCACAGGAATCATCATCCTTGTACTTCTTGTGCTCATCCTCCTCCTTCTGTTCATCATTTACCGCAAAAAACAGAAAGGCAAAGAATCCTCGATGCCTTCGGTCACGTATACACCTACTATGAGGGCCAACACTGATTACGCCATTGCAGGTCAGTGTCCAAATTGTTGTGATAATACCTCTATTCATTACAATAGCTATACATGTCTCATTATTTTCATAATTAACTGTGTAAGTCAGGGTGACTCCTATGGCAGAACAGGGTAGTTTCAGAAGTAACTGTGTCTGTTTGTGATTTTTTTTTTTCATTTTATTTCCTAGAGTCACTCCCACAAACAGAGGTCCTTCCCAACAGTAACTATTTCTCCAACCCCAGCTACCACACGCTGACCCAATGCAGCAGCCCACCTCACATCAATAACATACCCTATGGAAAGGTGGGTAACTCTAGTACAGGGGTGTCCAAACTACGGCCCGCAATCAGTTTTGTGGCGGCCCGCAAGGCTTTTTATAAATATTAACAGAATCTGGCCCGCTATACAAAAATGAACATAATTCAATAAATAACCACCGAGTGTCCCTATCACATGCCTTCAATTAAGCAGCAGATCTTGGTATGAACGAACCGACGAAACTGAAGGAAACACAATTGATAACATTTTGATTCACATTTTGGCAAGCCATGGCAAAAACAAGAGAAAGAAAAATCAACAGTAAGTGAAGGAAGTTTCAGTCACGTTGGGGAAAAGAATATTTCTTCACAGAGGTCAGCGGGAAATGTATCTGTTTAATTTGCCGGGAATCAGTTGCAGTAATGAAGGAATTTGATATTAAAAGACATTATGAAACAAAACATCAGGCCTTCAGCTCTTACACTGGTGCCGAACGAAATCAATAAGTAAAACAATTAGCAGCTGCCCTATCAGCTCAACAACAATTCTACACTGGCTAGTTATGAAGTGTATATATATATATGCGTGTCTGTGAAGTATGTAAAATTTGGCCCGGGACAACGTTTTTTTTTGTTTGTTTTTTTTTGCATCTGGCCCTCAGCCCAAAATGTTTGGACACCCCTGCTCTAGTATAACACAACACTCTTAGAAATAAAGGCACATGAGCTGTCGCTGGGGGTATACCTTTTCAAAAGAAACAAATTTGTACCTAAAAGGTCCATATTAATACCTCAATGGTACATATCAGTACCTAAAAACTGGAAGGCTAAAACAGGGCAAAAAAGATGATCAAAAATATCTGAATTGTAGACCGCTAATTGTTGAATAGTTCTGGGAACACAGGACTAATAAATATGGAGGGGGATTTATATTTTACTAAATACTGCTTTAGAATAAAGCATTTACTTGGATTACCCTGCCTGTGTGTTGTTAGAAACAGATTTTAGTTTAGTGAAACTAAACTGTTTCTGCGACGCAGTGGCGCAGTAGGTAGTGCTGCCGCCTCACAGCAAGTAGGTCGCTGGTTCGAGCCTTGGCTGGATCAGTTGGTGTTTCTGTGTGGAGTTTGCATGTTCTCCCTGCGTTTGCATGGGTTTCCTCCAGAGATGGGTTGCGGCTGGAAGGGCATCGGCTGCATAAAAACATGCTGGATAAATTGGCAGTTTATTTCGCTGTGGCAACCCTGGATTAATAAATGGACTAAACCGAAAAGAAAATGAATGAATGAACTGTTTCTGCCTTAAAACCTGCCATTTTTAAGAAACCAATTGCAAATTCCTAAATTAATCCAAATTACCTTCTCTGTAGATTTCTGGAGTTGAGGAGCTATGTGGAATGTCGTAGAAAGGCACTTGCTATAATTATAATTTTCTTCTGCCTGACAGATGAACAACAACCAGTTGTTTGTGAACCTGAAGAACACTGAGCCGAGGAAGCGGCTTTCCCTGCTGGATCACACAGGAACTCTACCAGCTGACTGGAAGCAAGGCGGATCCTTTAGTGAACTCGGTGTGACCTCCAGCAACCTAATCACAACCAATACTACAGTGAAACATTTCACATGATAATGCTTAACAGAACAATGTTTGCAGAAAGAATACTGTACATAAATTCAACAGTTTAGATCTAGAAGCAGATTAATTGTATTATTTTGTTTGACAAATATATATTTCAGAACAATTATATTTTTAGCTAAGGAGAGTTACATTTATCAAGTTAATTAATTCTTTCCCGGTAATTGGTTGCGGCTGAATGAATGAATGAATAAGTGAATGAATGAATCAATCAATTAATAAGTGAATGGATGAATGGATGAATGAATGAATGTATTAATAAATAAATGAATGAATGAATGAGTGAATGGATTAATAAGTGAATGAATGAATGAATGAATTAATTAATTAATAAGTGAATGAAAGAATGAATGAATGAATTAATGCGTGAATAAATGCGTGATTGAATGAATGAATGAATGAATGCATGAATGAATGAGTGAATAAGTGAATGAATTAATAAATGAATGAATGAATGAATGAATGAATGAATGAATGAATGAATGAATGAATGAATGAATGAATGAATGAATGAATGAATTCAAACAATGAACTGAGTATGAAGTTGATGACAACATGGCACGTATAAAATAAGATATTGCTTTGGACCATTTCATGTTTTGATACATATAACAATTATATTATTTTAAATGTAGTTAAACGACTTTCTGTTGTATGTTAGTTGAAATCGATAGTGATTTTAAGAAGTATTAAGTACTTATTGTGTTATTAAATGACTTTTAAGACCAAGTAATTAGAAAAGTAATTTAAATACAAGTTTAAGTAATTAGTAATTAATCAACATTGTTCCTAACCTCAGTCTACACACATTAGAATCTTTACTGTAACATTTCACACACAGCACCAGCATGTTTAAACAGATAAATGTTTTCCTTTATTTGTTCCATTTACAACTTTGAGTTGAGTAACAAGCCTTTGACTTCTTCTGTCTTGATTTTTCTCATTAGGAGCTTATGGAGTTGACAGGCGCTACATGGGAAAGTCGCTTCGAGGTAAAAGATCATTTAGCAAGGAAAGAGTCTTTAGCAGATGGAAGGAATTATGTCATCATTTAATCTCTTTTGTCTTGATCCAAACATGAATGCATTTTTTACCATGGAAAATGTGATTTGAAAGATTGTTTTCAATAGGGTTAATGGGGTCTGATGCTTTTTTACATTTCAAATGTCATTTTTTGGTAACACGTTACAATGTCAGGACATAAATAATGATGTACTGATGTTTAAACTAAATGTTACTTCATTATGAACTGACACACTAAACCACAGAATAGTATTTTTTTTAATTTGGAAAGTATTTATTTATTTATGTCTGCTTTATGAATACGTTAATGTGATACTTCAATTTTGAATACAATGAAACAGTGCCTTGAAGCCCAGGCCACAGAAACCACTGGATAGATTTGAAGAGAAATATTTAAATGATGCAAAACAGGTGTTTATTATTGTACCTTGGTGCCTATATTCTTCATAGAGCAAGTTTATATACAGCTGGTCAAATTATTAGCGCTTTTTTCAAATATTTGCCAGATGATGTTAAACAGAGCAAGGAATATTTCACTGTATTCATTAATTTTCATTCGACTTAGGCTGTACTAACACTAGGTAAAGTTGCCTCGAACCGGGCCAAAGCACGCTTGTCCCCCTCCTGTCTCCCCCGACGGCCCGCACTCACACCACAATCGGGCCTCGGCACGCTTACATCATCGCTGCTGTGCTGTTCAGTGAGAAGCGCCAAAGCCTAAGTGAACCGCGCTCAGGCCCACCTCTTCCAACCGGGCCAGGGCCGGCCAAGTGAACCGTGCTTGAGCCCGATTCAGCGCACTAACACTTCTCAAACGATCTGGGAAATGGGCCTGAGTACGGTATGGATGGCATAGTGTGAATAGGCCCTTAGTCCCTTATTTATAAGGGGTCGCCACAGCAGAATGAACCACCAATTTCTCCAGCATACTGTATGTTTTATGCAGCAGATGCACCTTCTTGCTGCAACTCAGGACTGTGAAATTCATTCACAATATTTTCTATTATATTTTTTCTTCTAGAGAAAATCGTTTGGTTTTTTTTTTTTTAGCTAGAGTAAAAGCAGTTTTTAATTAACAAAAAAACGATTTAAGATCAATATTATTAGCCCTCTTAAGCATTATATTTTTTTTAAGTCTACAGAACAAATCATCGTTATACAGTAACTTGCCCAATTACTCTAATTTGCCCACTTAACCTAATTAATCTAGATAAGCCTTTAAATTGCACTGCATACTAGTATCTTGAAAAATATCTAGTAAGCAATTATGTGTATCATGGCAAAGAAAATAAATCAATCATAAAAATCATTAATTATTAAAACCATTATGTTTAGAAATGTGTTGAAAAAAACATTATGTCCATTACACACAATATGGGGAAAACAAGTATATAGATGGGCTCGTATATTACGATGGGCTCACTCACAAACGCAGAGATCTCAGGAATTATCAAAAACATGTATTTATTTACAAAAGCACTCACAAAAGGCACTAGAACATCAAAACAGTCAGGACAAGGAGTTGGTGACAATACAACACCAGAACAAAGAATAAACTGAACTTAGGGGTATAAATACTCAAGACATGAATAAACTGAATGCATACAGGGGTGTGACTATTAAATATATAACTAACACTACTAATAGATGTAACTATTAAACATTAAAAAACGGTGGGAAAACAGAACAAAGGAAACACATGACCTAAACAGAAGCACATGGCACATCAACAACTACACAAACACATCACAGACACAACAAACTTGTGACAATATGACTCATGTTGTAATTAATTAAGGATAGTTTTTGATTATTACAAAGCCCTAATTCACCATTCGTTTATAATAAAAAACATTTAGTTAAAATGTTAAACATCATTTGGTATGAACTGTTATTGTAACATATTACCAACATAAAAGAATACTATAACACTTGTTTTACTTGTACTTGTTTTTGATCATATATTTTCTTCTGGAGAAAGTCTTATTTGCCATATTTTGGCTAGAATAAAAACAGTTTTAAATATTGGAAAAGCCCTTTTAAGGTCAAAATTATTAGCCCCTTAAAGCATATTTTTTCAAGTCTACAGAGCAAACCATTGTTATATTCTGACTTCAACTGTACGGTATATTCACGCTCCATTCACACAGGGCGTCAATGCTTCCCATTCACTTTGAAAAAGTGAAGTCAGGCGTTGCCAAACTGCATTGTGGATCCTTTGGTGCCGCTTCAGAGGCGTTGTTCGCTGCAAAAGATGGGACTTGCTCCACTTTTCAAGCAGCGACGGAAGCATCAGCCAATCAGATCGCTTTATGCAAATACACCAGCTCAGACTGTGGCCTATTGCCGACTAATTTCATTGGCTAACGCTGCTATGATGATCGCGTCAGTCCCAACTTCATGTGTGAATGGGGCGTCACTGTTCAATAATAAGAATTCTATATAGATCAGTGGGTATATTAAACTGTAACACATCACAGTTTACTGTAGTAATAACTAAAGTATCCAACAGTACAGTATTACTACAGTATGCTGTTGCATTCATTGACATACTGTTGTAAATACACTCTTAGAAATAAAGGTACGCAAGCTGTCACTGGGGTGGTACCTTTTCAAAAGGTACAAATTTGTACCTAAAAGGTCCATATTAATACCTCAAGGGTACATATCAGTCCTTAAAAAGTACCAAAGTGTTCCTTTTAAAATTTGTAGGTACTAACATATACTTTTGAGGTACCAATATCAACCCTTCAAGGACAAATGTGTACCTTTGGAAAAGGTACAAAAGAAAGGAAGTAATATATTTCTTGAATATAGGTTGAGTAAATGAGGACAGTGTTGATTTTGAGTGGACTGTCTCCTTTAAAAAGTTTCATGAATGGTTTTGTTTTTATCTCTGTAGATCTTGTGAAGAGTTTGCCCTATCATGCCAGTTCCTGCTCTCTGAATAGTTCAGAGAACCCATACGCCACCATCAAAGACCCTCCCCTGCTGTTGACCAAGAGCACTGAATGTGGTTATGTGGAAATGAAGTCTCCTGCTCACAGAGATTCACCATATGCTGAGATACATTCCTCCAGCCCTGCCAACAAAAATGTCTATGAAGTTGGTAAGCTGACAAGATTTATTGGTTTATTGGTAATTATAATGGTTTAAACTGCTATAATTTTCTCATAACTATTTAAAGTTGTTCTTTTGCGATCCTGATGCACAAAACAAGTTATGTTGCATGGGTATAATCTTTTCCCCTAATTTCTGTTTAATAGAAAGAAGTTTTTTTAACAAATTTCTAAAAATAATAGTTTGAATAACTTATTTCTAATAACTGAATTATTTTATCGTTACCATGATGTCAGTAAATAATATTTGACAAGATGTTTTTCAAGACACTTCTATACGGCTTAAAGTGACATTTAAAGGCTTAACTGGGTTAATTAGGTGAACTAGGCAGGTTAGGGTAATTAGGCAAGTAATTGTAGAACTATGGTTTGTTTTGTAGACTATCGAAAAAATTTGCTTAAATGGGCTAATAATTTTGACTTTTTTTTTTTTATTAAAAACTGATTTCATTTTAGCTAAAATAAAACAAATAAGTCTTTCTTCGGAAGAAAAAAATATTAGACTCACTTTAAGCTGTATAGAAGTGTCTTGAAAAAAATGTAGTCTAATATTATTTACTGTCATCATGAGATAAAATAAATAAATCAGTTATTAGAAATGAGTTATTAAAACTATTATGTTTAGAAATGTCTTGAAAAAATCTGCTCTCCATTAAAGAGAAATTGGGGGAAAAAATAAACAGAGGGGCTTATAATTCAGGGGGACTTCAACTGTATATCAAACCTCAATTTTTGATTAGTAATATATGAGGCTAAAAAAAAAACTTTTCCTAGTATTTACTTTTTTTAATCCAGATTCCATATTTTTAAATAGTTATCTTGACCAAATATTGTTCCATCCTCCCATGCTGCTGGATAGACTAATAACATTTTCTTAATGGGATTATGGGACATTGACTCTAAAAGAACAGTAACAGGTGTGGTGTGTCCCTACAAATCTGAAGGCATCACATCATATGTTTTGGCCATCAGGGAACTAGTTAGTTATCATGACTAAGTGCTTTTGCTTTATGAGCTGTGATAAGTGAAGCCTGTTTCTCTTGAGAGCAGCTGTTGTGTTTATGTCATGTTGGCTTGGGAATATTCATGTACATTATAATCATTGCTGCTGCAGCTGTCTTTTCTATCAACCCGCACTTTGGTCCATTTGCCACAGGCTTTACATTAAAGTCACCATGCAATCAAAATTGATTGTATTTTTTTATGCAATATACAGTATATATTTTTAATGTTAATTTTTATTGATGTGCATTTTTTGTGCTCTTTTAGCATTTAATCCAACAAAACCCCTCTTCGTTGACATTTCTTTCTCCGATTCAAACCACAACCCTCTAACAGACAATTAATTTCCTTTAGCTTTAGCAAGGGATAGTTCACCCCAAAATGAAAAATGTCTAATTTTCTCACCCTCGAGTACTTCTAAATCTTTATGCATTTCTGTCTTCAGTTAAACACAAAATAAGATATTTTAAAGAAAGATGAAAACCTGCAACCCTTGATTTCAATGATAGGAAAAACTAATTCTATGGAAGTTAACGAATATAAATACTGAAAATGTTCAAAATATATATATTTATTTTTTTGGTTTAGTTTTGAAACGAGTAAAAGAGTAGTAAATGATGACAGAATTTAAATTTTTAAGTGAACTATTTGACATCAGTTACCTTTTTATTAATCACCAACAGGGGCGAACAGTGGCTCAATGGTTAGTACTGTTGCCTCACAACAAGATGGTCTCTGATTCGAGTGCGCCCGGGTCAGTTGGCATTTCTGTGTGGAGATTGCATGTTCTTTCCATGTTTGTGTGGGTTTCCTCCGGGTGCTCTGGTTTCCCCCACAATCCAAAAACCTGTGGTTTAAGTGAATTAAATTAACTAAACTGGCCATAGTGTATGGATGTGTGTGAGTGTTTGGGTGTTTCCCAATACTGGGTTTAGGCTGGACGGGCATCCGCTGTGTAAAACATATGCCGGAATAGTTTTTGGTTCATCAACCCCTGATAAATAAGGAACTGTATAGGTGCAAACAGAGTTGGCATCTGCAGAATTTAAGTGCTGTCTGTTGTTTATTTCAATATAACAATGAAAGCATAAAATAATTTTGTATTTATTTTTTAGAAAGTAAAATATATATTTGCCTTGGCAAGCATAAGAAATTTTCTTACCTGCTTTGATCCGTAGTTACAGAATTAGCCAGAGATGCCAGGGCTCAGAATTTAAAAGCCTCTTTTTGGTAAATATGAAGAGTTTTGTAAGATGTTGTAGAGTTTTACTTAAAATCATTGCTGCTCCAAAGATTTTCTAACACAGAGCTGCACAAGTACAGACTAGAACACACATGTACAGTTGAAGTTAGAATTATTAGCCTCCCCTTTAAATTTTTTTCTTTTTTAAATATTTCCCAAATGATGTTTAACAGAGTAAGGAAATTCTCACAGTATGTCTGATAATATTTTTTCTTATGGATAAAGTCTGATTTGTTTTATTTCAGCTAGAATAAAAGCAGTTTTTAATTTTATAACACCATTTAAGGACAAAATTATTGGCCCCTTTAGGCATTTTTTTTCGAGTCTACAGAACAAACCAGCTATACAATAACTTGCCTAATTCCCCTAACCTGCCTAGTTAACCCAATTAACCTAGTTAAGCCTTTAAATGTCACTTTAAGCTGTATAAAAGTGTCTTGAAAAATATCTAGTCAAATATTATTTACTGCCATCACGTCAAAGATAAAATAAATCAGTCATTAGAGATGGGTAATTAAAACTATTAGGCGTAGAAATGTGTTGAAAAGAGAAATTGGGGAAAAATAAACAGGGGGGCTAATAATTCAGCAGGATAAATAATTCTGACTGCAACTGTAAATCAGACATATTATAAAAATTACATCACAATTTATTTATTTTAGAATTTATTTTATTTATTATTTTAAAATCGATGAAAGAACAAACTTTTACTGTGCGATAACTGTGTGCATCATTGTTGGCTACATGCCTGGAGGAGAGTATTTAAATGAGAATTCAAATGGAATTTGCACCATTATTTGCAGTAAAGTCCATAAACTTGTCAGTAATTTAGTAGTTTTTTAAATGCCCTCATCTATTTTTGGCATTGCATTGTAGGGGAATTGCAGTCAGGGTTCATACGGTCATGGAAAACCTGGAATAGTCATGGAATTTAGACATAGCATTTTCCAGGCCTGGAAAAGTTTTGGAAAAACAGAAAAACTCCCAAGGTTTTGGAAAAGTGATGGAGGTTAGTTTAAAAATTATCTGTATACTTAAACTAGAGCTGCACAATATTGGAAAAATCTAACACTATGATATTTTGTGTTTCTGTGACATATATTACAATGTGAATACAATTTCACCAGATGATTTAACAGGTTTATTTAGATTGATTGGGGGTATTTTATATATATATATATATATATATATATATATATATATATATATATATATATATAAAACAAATAAATTACAACCATAGATAGATAACAAAATATATTCATTCATTCATTTTCTTGTCAGCTTAGTCCCTTTATTAATCCGGGGTCGCCACAGCGGAATGAACCACCAACTTATCCAGCAAGTTTTTACGCAGCGGATGCCCTTCCAGCCGCAACCCATCTCTGGGAAACATCCACACACACATTCACACACACACTCATACACTATGGACAATTTAGCCTACCCAATTCACCTGTACCGCATGTCTTTGGACTGTGGGGGAAACCGGAGCACCCGGAGGAAACCCACGCGAAAGCAGGAAAAACATGCAAACTCCACACAGAAATGCCGACTGAACCGAAGTTCGAACAAGCAACCCAGCGACCTTTTTGCTGTGAGGCGACAGCACTACCTACTGCGCCACTGCCTTGCCCATAACAAAATTTAATAAAGATAAAAATAAATTATAGTTTTCAGATATTCACTATTCCGGTCCAGATATTGAATAATCAACACTGCATAGTCTTCATTGTATTTTATTTAACCTTTATTAAAGTCACACAAAAAATGTGACCGGAGGTTTTAAAATTTGAAATATTGAAATGTTCATACAGTCACAGGCCTTAAAAGGACAGTTAACTTAAAAATTAAAATGTACTCACTATTTACTCACACTTTACTTGTTTCTATACTATAGGAGTTATTAAATTCGCTGGTTCATGTCCTGCATGTTCCCCCCTTGTTTGTGTGGGTTTCCTTCATGTGCTCTGGTTTCCCCCACAGTCCAAAAACATGCAGTAGATAGGTGAACTGAATAAACGAAATTGTCTGTGGTGTATGAGTGTGTAAGCCCAATTCTGAATTGTGGCTATTTATTTATACAACAGTTTTGTTTGGTTCTCGAATCTGATTGGCTGCTAGCCGTGATATATTTGAGTAATATCAGCACCCGTACAGCCTCTTTACCCTTTGTGTATTACTCCGCCCATATACAGCAAGCAAAAAGCTCAGCTGTTTAACTGTCAGCTCATGATTTGAATCCAACGCGGAAGAAAGTAGTTCCTTATACAAAAGGCTTTTTTGAGACTCTCCATGTTTAATTTTGTTTTTATATCCACGATTATACCTTTCAACTGTTGTATAAATTCAATATCACACTCGTAGCAGTGCGATATGGCTGTTTATCGGCACTGGTGGGGGCACTAAGGCACTTGGCATGCGGTCTTGTGCCAATGCACGCCTCCCACCAGTGCCGATATACACCTATATCGCTCTGCTACTCGTGTGATATTGCTATATATATATATATATATATATATATATATATATATATATATATATATATATATATATATATATATATAATGCACATGAGCCTTTTATTGTTATTAAAAATGATGACATTTTTGTATTCTTTCTCTTTCTAGAGCCAACCATCAGTTCTGTCCAGGCACTTACAAACAACAACTGCAACGGGCCATTCTGTCAAGATCCATATGACTTACCAAAGAATAGTCACATTCCATGTCATTATGACCTACTGCCTACAAGAGACAGCAGCCCATCACCCACAGAGGACAGCAAATAAACACTCGCAAACTTCATTAATGGACCATTACTGTGTTTATTGCTGTCTTGAATGTCATTCAACATTATAAAAGTTCTTAATCACGTCTGGCTTACATATTCAAAATGCCATAGTCTTACCCAGTATTCTGTGAGGAACAAGAGAACGATTGTTTTAGAGGAGGACGCTAATAATTGTAATTCATTCAAGCATATCATTCCATTCTTTTATAATAACACATCACACAAATCCCAGACAATCCTCCGTGTTTCTGATCAAGTATGTCAGATTTCAATTTCTGTTGTTTTTTCTTCCTTATAATATTTCGAATATTAGTACTGTTTATTGCAATCAGATTGTCCGAAAACATTTCAGGTTTACCAAAGGTTGACATGCCCTTATAAAGCATCATTAGTGTTGTATTTATATTGACAGTCACCCATAAATATAGTTTACAGTCACGTATGTCAACATTAACATCATTTTTACATTGAAACGAAGGGCAGATACTTTATAATGTGTAGTACTTTCTAGTTTTTAGTAAGCTAAAGCTGGACTTTTGCAAAGAAAAACATCTTTAAGATGACGACGAGATGGGTCAGTTTGATATAAATAAATCTGGAGTATTTACGACATACATTCATATGTCTTAAAGCACTCTGAGCCTGAACTTTAATTGTATAAAACTGTACATAGTACCAATTCTTTCAAATTTACATTCTCATAAATTCCTTTGTAACTTGACTAGTATTGTTTAAAGCAGGACATACAGCGAAGAGTCATCCCGTCCAACTGACTGGACCTATAATATGTTTTCCATAGATTTTTTATTTTTATTATTATTATTATTATTACTATTATTATTTTACTCTAAATATTCCACACAATGGGGCAGCATGTGGGTAGCGCAGTGGGTAGCACAATCCCCTCACAGCAAGAAGGTGGCTGGCTCAGTTGGCGTTTCTCTGTGGAGTTTGCTTGTTCTCCCTGTGTTTGCGTGGGTTTCCTCCGGGTGCTCCGGTTTCCCCCACAAGTCCAAAGACATGTGGTACAGGTGAATTGGGTAAGCTAAATCGTCCGTAGTGTATGAGTGTGTATGGATGTTTCCCAGTGATGGGTTGCAGCTGGAAGAGCATTTGCTGCATAAAACAAATGCTGGATAAGTTTGCGGTTCATTTCACTGTGGCGACCCCAGAGTAATAAAGGGAATAAGCCAAAAAGAAAATAAATGAATGAATGAATTCCACACAATGAAGTAATTAATAATGCTGATCCAAAAGCAGCCAAGTGTGTATGAGTGTTTTATGTATATATCTTAAAACTGTATCTTTGTTTTGCTTTTCTTATGATTTTTTTTAATAAATGTAAAAAAAAAATCTAAAAAGTTGTGCAAAGTGTCATCTCTTTAAATAAAGGATGAAAAATGCATTTCTTCTCTGTCTACCCTTTACCCTAAGAACTTTTAATGCTGTTATTCACACAATTATTTCGATTAAAAAAAAATAATAAATGAAGGTTCTAATGCAGCGGTGTTCAAACTCGGTTCTGGGAGGTGCGGTGTCATGCAGGTTAGCTCTAACTTTCTCCAAAACACCTGCCTGGAAGTCTGGTATACCTAGACAGAGCTTGGTTCGCTGGTTCAGGTGTGTTTAATTAGGGTTGGAAATAGTAGCAAAGAATTCTGGCTCAGATTTGGCATAGAGCTGGGACAGCAGGCATTCATCCGGCACTGGCATACAGCATGTGGGCCAAACATAGCCCGGGTTTGGCAGAGGTGGCACCGTCTTTAAGGCGGCACACAAGATTTGGGCCAGATGTAAAACGTAGTATTTGGCCCAGATTTTAAAAATTGTTATGTGGGCAACGTGAGTTTGGCCAGTCTTGACCCACATTTAAAATACATTAAAATACTTTTTGAGTAAAAAAAAATTCTACCAATCAGGTCACTTTGAGAAAAAGAATGCCCATAGTGTGCCTAAAGCGCAACGCTTCATGGATTTATCAATTTCATTGCAATCACGACACACCAACCTATCTGGCCCAGTTCAGGCCTGGTTATGAGTTATTAACTTGGCTGAGACTTGGCCCAGATATGGTCTGTGTTTGGCCCTTGTCTGGAAGCCAGATTTGGTCCAATCATGTACCGTAATTCACTGTGGCATGTGGGCCAAGCAAAACCTGATTGTGTGGGCCAGAACTGGGCTAGAGAAATTTTGCTATGTGGGAAAATATGCAGGACACCAGCCCTCCGGAACTGAGTTTGGACACCATTGTTCTAATGCATCAAACAAGGTAAAAAAAAAACTTTCAATATAGACCTTGTTATTCAAAGAACATTTCAGTTAAAAGTTTAAATATATTTTTCCCCCTTGAGTTTACTATATTAAAAATCTAAACTACCTTTAAAAATGGAATCTATTTTAAATGCAAAAGTATTGAACGGTAAAGTTTCTTCATAGAACAGGGGTGGGCAAACTCGGTCCTGGAGGGCCGGTGTCCTGCACAGTTTAGCTCCTACTCTAATCACACACACCTGCTTATAGATTTCTAGAGATCTTGAAGACTCTGATTAGCATGTTCAGGTGTGTTTGATTAGTGTTGCAGCTAAACTACGCAGGACACCGGCCCTCCAGGACCGAGTTTGCCCACCCCTGTCATAGAACCATTCCTCCCAAGAATTTAAGAAATTATTTTAGGATGCCATAGTTTCCTATTTATAGAGAGTTCAATAAACAAGAAGAGCTTTTCCACCATGACCATCTGAAAAGTTTTCTTTAAAGAGTTTATTTGATGCATTAGTACCTCATAATAAAAACAAGAAACTCATGTTTGGACTTGAGGTTGGTTGAGTAATACTAAGTAAATTTCTAGTTTTGGGTGAACTATGCCTTTAAGGACAATGTAGTAAATATATTCGTTCATTTCTGTCATAACACAATGAAACAGAAAATTGCTTGTGTGCATGGTAAAACGTCAACTTTACACGCTATTTCTTTACTGCAGGGGTCAGGAACCTTTTTTTAATAAAGAGCCATTTGGATGTATGTTTATCTCAAAATACCTCTTTAAAAATGCATTTGCTACTGTGTTACTACCAGTGGTGGAAAGAGTACTGAAAAATCTTACTCAAGTAAAAGTACCATTACTTGCCTAAAAATGTAGTGCAAGTGGAGTAAAAGTATTTGTTGTAAATTTTACTCAAAGTATGAGTAAAAAGTAGAACTTTTACTCAAGAGTAGTGAGTATTATGCTGTGAAAAGCTGATGCATTTACATGTAACTTGTGGATGTGTGTATGTGTAAACGTAACATTCTGTAGTGCATTTAGTTATTGCCCAGCAGGCACACAACATCATAGGACGTTAATATTAGGTTAAATTTAGGTTGTAAGATCAAGTGACCAAAATTCAATGTCTAGCCAGCATCTAAGGAAAACGTTATTTTGATGTCTAACATTAAATGTCGTTGATATTTGGTTGATTTTAGGTCGTGTTAGAAAGTGACCAAAAACCAATGTCGAGCCAACATCTTAAACCAACATCCTATTGACGTCAAATACTGATATTGATTTTGAAAATCTTCTTGGCCAATTTTAATGCTTCCAAACAGTTTGCTGCATTTATAAATCGCCCATGTCTTGAGGTAGTTCATCATGAGGCGATTTACCTTTTATGTGTGATTTGATTGGACAGGAATTACAGGACTGATTTTTCTAATCCTCATAGACAAAGAAGAAATAAAGTAGTGACTGCAGGTTGAAGGAAAGTAGTGAAGTAAAAGTACTGATACAGCACTAAAAATGTAGTCAAGTAAGAGGAAAAAAGTACACATTTTTAAAACTACTCTGTAAATTACAATTCCTGAGAAAAGTAATTAATTACAGCAATTTAAGTATTTGTAATTACTTACTTTACACCACTGGTTACTACTATAAATAACACAGGTTTAAACAAAATCTTTTTGTCCAAACAAAGTCGTGTATGTCCATGCACAACTCAAAAATAAACAAATGTGAAGCATCACATGTTGAGCAAGTCCATGAATGAAGCCCGTCCTTTTATTGTTAACAGAGTTCTTATTATTTTGCTGTAAAAATACAATAAAGAGGGAATTGTAATTGTATTTTCGATGGGAAACTGATTTCTAGTGATGATTATAATTTTTTAAACGATAAAATATTATTGAAGGAAAACAGCTGGAGAGCCACATACTTTCAAGTGGTGCTCGCTGCAGAGCCATTTGAGGTCAAAGGGCCACATGTGGCTCCAGAGCCATAGGTTCCCTACCACTGCTCTAGTGTGAGAAGAACAGTTTGGAAAAAAATTCAGTCAAAATGAATGATTCAAAAGAGCCGATTCGCTAAAACGAGTCAGTCTTTGTGACTTCCGATGTTACCATTTTGTTTTGCTTTTTTTTTGTTTAACCGTTTTGTGTGGTGTTTCTACAACTTCTTAACAGCTTCTAAATTATTTGCTGCTACATTATAAAAACTCTAAACTGTTTTGTTGAATCGCACGTCTCAGCTTCAGACGTGGCACTGCGTGACGTCATCAGAGCGCCGCCGTGTCCACTGTATTTCGCACTTCAGCTGCTCCCGTTTCAACATTATACTCGGTTTTGATCGCATCAGGTAACTATGATTCTTCTTCAATAATAGATTAAATTGTGTTGTCTGCATGAAATGTTGCTGCTAAAAGCTAGAATAACAAAGACATTAGATATCTGAGCTGATCACTACTACTTCAATACATTAGATCTTGAATGAGAAACCAGTGAATTAAAGATTGTAAGTAATACAAGTTAAATGTGACGTGGAGTAATTTGCGCTCCTAATGTGAACCACTGAATATGTCTGTACAGTAATCATTTTCTTATAAATCAGTGAGTGATCAACTGAGTTTATGATGTCGTCTCAACGCGTACTCTTGAGTTTGAACGTTACTTCCATAATACAATTTGGTGCATTACCAGCTTAATAATTGATGATTTATATTTTAAGAAGATTTTTAGACATTAATACTAACATTATGAAAACTACAACGCTTTTAGTCCTTTCAATAATTTATTAGTAGTCATATTTATATAATGAATTTAATTAAATGACATCGTCAATCATAACAAATTCATTTAAATACCTTAGGGAGCAAATGTCTTGATATTTGTTATGAACGTACAGTTCCGGATGTCCTCATTAGACAGGAAACTGCTAATGGCAGGGATGAGTTTCTGTGCAGTGTTTGACTACTGCTGGTTTACACTTTAACTGTGATGTGGTTATGTTTTAGTACATATCTCAGGGAAAGGTTTCATGTGGCTGTGTTCCTCGCCTAATTGTTTTCCTGTGAAAACGTAAAAACAAAACAATTGAGTTTCAATCAAGTTAAGATAACTTTACTTGAGAAACAAAGTAACAATGCATATTGTTTTCTGGAAAATGCATCAAAATTAACAGATTTATTTTAACAATAACAATATGTGCCATGAACAGCATATCGTGGTGGAGTGCCTGAGTGATCCTAAGAGCTATGTTGTCGGGGCTAAATGCCCCTGGTAGGGTTTCATTCATTCATTCATTCATTCATTCATTCATATTCTTGTCGGCTTAATCCCTTTATTAATCCGGGATCGCCACAACAGAATGAACCGCCACCTTTTCCAGCAAGTTTGTACGCAGCGGATGCCCTTCCAGCCTGCAACCCATCTCTGGGAAACATCCACACACACTTATACACTACGGACAATTTAGCTTACCCACTTCACCTGTACCACATGTCTTTGGACTGTAGTGGAAACCGGAGCACCCGGAGGAAACCCACGCGAACGCAGGGAGAACATGCAAACTCCACACAGAAACGCCAACTGAGTCAAGGCTCGAACCAGAGACCTTCTTGCCATCTTCCAGCCTAAACCACGGCGAATGAAGTTCTGCACAAGACTTTTGGCCAGCGGAGAAATTAAAATGGTCATGCCCAACTGAGTCTGGTTCTCTCAAGGTTTTTTTTCTTCACTCCCATCAGGTGAAGTTTTTTTTCCCTCTCCGCTGTCGCCACTGCCTCGCAAGGTTCAGGATTGGTAGAGCTACGCATCGATGAATTGGCTCTTCAGTGTTTGAACTCTCAGTAATGATTAAATCACACTGAACTGAGCTAAACTGAACTGAACTGAACTTAAACACTAAAACCTGAACCACACTGTTCCAGTTACTGAACCACACTGTTCCAGTTACTATGACCATTTATGTGAAGCTGCTTTGACACAATCTACATTGTAAAAGCGCTATACAAATAAAGCTGAATTGAATTGAATTGAATTGAGGCGACCTCACTTCCTACTGCACCATTGCTTCGCCCCCCTGGTAGGGTTACCCAATGCAAAAAGGTTTTAGGTGACAGGTCAGTCTAAGTTTGGTTCAAAAACACCTTATGAGTACAAAAACATCATTGACAGTGACGTCGCCCAGTGTGGCGCAGCCAGCGCCCCACCTTGGAGCCAGGCTTGAGGTTGGGGCTCATATGAGAGCGACTAGTGGCTGCTTTTTTTCCTACGGAACCCAGCTAGGCTTAGCCCGAAGGTGCAACATTGGACCATCCTTTTGCAGGCTCACCACCTGCAGGGGGAGCCGTAAGGGGCCGGTGCATTGTGGAACAGGTGATGGTCGAAGGTTAGGACCACGACAACACGATCGTCAGGCACAGAAACTGGCTCTTGGGACATAGAATGTCAGCTCTCTGGAAGGGAAGGAGCCAGAGCTTGTGCGGGAGGTGGAACGGTAGCCCAGGTGGAGGAGTTCAAGTATTTTGGGGTTTTGTTCGGGAAGGATGGAGCGTGAAATTGACAGGCGGATCAGTACAGTGGCAGCAGTAATTCGGTCGATGTACCGGTCGTTTGTGCTAAAGAAGGAGTTTAGCCAAAAGGCAAAGCTCTTGATTTACCAGTCAATCTACATTCCTACTCTCACCTAGGGTCATAAGCTTTGGGTCATGACCGAAAGGACAAGATCTCAGATATAAATGAGTTTCCTTCGCAGGGTGGCAGGGCGCACCCTTATGGATAGGGTAAGGAGCTCTGACACCCGGGAGACATAGAGAGAAGTCAGCTGAGGTGGCTCAAGCATCTGTTTCGGATGCCTCATGGACGCCTACCTAGGGAGGTGTTCCAGGCATGTCCCACCGGGAGGAGGCCTCGGGGAAGACCCAGGACACGCTTGAGGGACTATGACAATGCTTCTACATGCATTTACTTTAATTGTGCACAACTTGTGCATACTTTATTTTGAAAACGTCTTCCCAAGTAAATTTATATTAATTTAGAAATGTTTAGCTGTTTTACTGAGTGAATAGATTGAAGTACTAAGAAACAATATCATTTGGATTATTCAGTTTAATCAAATGATGATTTGTATGTTCATTATGCTGTATTTTTACTTGTCATATTTATTAACACTGTTAAGTTTATGAATAGATTGCAGCACTCTTATAGCATCTTATTTAAACTGTGCAGCTTCTTGATGTTTTAACATCTTCATTACCCGCAGAACAGAGTGAAGATGATGGAAGAGAGTGGTATAGAGAGCACACCACCCGCTACCCCTCCACCTCCATCTACAGTGGTTGCCAGTCCTCCACCACTCACCAGCGGTAATGCCCAATGCGCTATGCTGTTTTCTGTGTATTTACTGTCAGTGAAGGCAGTGGCTCATCTTTGATTATGCACACAAACTCACTTAATGGAAGCTTTGAATGTATAACGTTTAAACATGGACATCATGACATGGTTGCACAAATGTAGTTTGATTCAAACGTGGGAGTCATACTCAATTATCAATGTAAGCAGACATCTAGGAAAATTCTGACCTAGTTAAGAGAGACGTGCACTTCATATAGCCATAAGATATTTTTTGGTCAGGGACTCAGGTTATTATTTATTTTTTATTTATTCATTTTTTAACAATTTTAATTTTAAACATTGTCAAAGAGGTTAAAACAAAGGTTATACAATATTACAAAATACATTAAAATACAATAGTAGTAACAGATAAATAAACTTAATACAAATCTTGGTACAGTCTATTCAATATGTTCAATACATTATTCAAAACAACTTCAGCTTGCAAGTACAAGGCAACTAAATATAGTTGAGGTCTAACCAGCAATGCAATAGCAGCAAGTGCAGGATATAGGTATAAGTTCTAAAGTGCAATCGTAGATAAACAATATGTAATATTTACAGAAAATTATGTTGAAAATTATGTTGTTTACTTCTTAGTAATTTATTGGTAATCAAATGATTGACTCGGACTGAAACTTCTTCCTAGATCAGTCTCATTTGGCTTGGGTAGATGAAGTTTCAGTCAGCATGGAATGGGTATATACCTGAAATAATCTGATTAAAAGGAAAACCAACACAATCATATTCAAAAATAACTTGATATTCTTTGATGTATTTGTTTACATCTGACAAACGTGTGTATATTTCTGTGCACCTAACACTTTCAAACCTCTCAGTGGAGAAGACTTAAATATTTGCTAAAACGTATTTTAGTGCATCTTCTTTTTAAATCTATTATAATTGCAAAAAATTTATTCCTGCTGCAGTGACATTATCAATCTACATGTGATGATGGGGTAAGGTTAGATTTGAACATGTAAAAATGTTTGCAATATTTAGAGATTTAATATAATGTTTTAAGATAAGCAGAACATTCATTCAATTATTTTCTTTTAGCTTAGTTCTTTTATTAATCAGGGGTCGCATCAGCGGAATGAACCGCCAACTTTTCCAGCATATGTTTTTTGCAGCAGATGCCCTTCCAACTGCAACCCATCACTGGGAAACACCCATACACTCTCATTCACATATACACTATGGACAGTTTAGCTTACTCAATTCACCTATAGCATGTCTTTGGACTTGTGGTGAAAACCGGAGCACCCGAAGGAAACCCACATGAATACGGGGAGAACATGCAAACTCCGCACAGAAATGACAACTGACCCAGCCAAAGCTTGAACCAGTGATATTCTCGCTGTGAGGCGACAGTGCTACCCACTGTGCCACCACCCCACCCCGAAGCAGAACTTCATTCATTTATTCATTTTCATTTCAGCTTAGTCCCTTTATTAATCAGGGGTCGCCACAACGGAATGAACCGCAAACTTATTCAGCATAGATGTTTTACGCAGCGGGTGCCCTTCCAGCCGCAACCCAACACTGGGAAACACCCATACACTATGGCCAATTGAGCTCGTTCAGTTCATCTATACCGCATGTCTTTGGACTGTGGGGAAAACCAGAGCACCCAGAGGAAAACCACCAGAACACAGGAAGAACATGCAAACTCCACACAGAAATGCCAACTGACCCAGCTTGGACTCAAACCGTTGGCCTTTTTGCTTTGAAGCAATCGTGCTACCCACTGCGCCACCATGGCGCCCTCCTAAGCAGAACTTACTGGAAGTCAAATTGCATTATTGCCCTGATGGGAATTACAATTCGGGAAATAAACTGTCTTGGAAATCACAGTTTATTTCCTCCTTCGCATCTAAAAAACCTCCTTCGCATCTGAAACCAACAATTTGTTGATAGATTAATAAAAAATAAGTAAAGAGAATGAGATCTGCATTGAAAAAACCCCAAAACAAACTTCATGAAATTAGCCCTAATGTTGGTAAAAGAAACTTCTACACGTTTTCCAACAGGTAGGATCAGATTGTTTTTACCCCTTGTAGAATCTGTCACTGCAGGATGACATACATATTTTTAATACATGGAGAAGATCCTCTCATAGGGTCTAAAATCTAAATCTTGATTGATTGAACATTTTTACTTAATTTTTAATACTTTTAATTACTTTTAATTAATGAATGATTATTTTATTTATTTAAACTTTTTTTTTGCTCCTGTAGTTCAAGGACAAGTTTTATATGCCATCTACAGGCATCTCTGGTGCAGCTTTCGATCATCGTCAATGTAGTGCAAAGTAAGGCTCAAGAATGACTCCATCGTCCTCGTTGACCAGAGATCAGATGTGGCTGCTAAGTTAAGAGAGCGGGGTCATGTGACACATTGGGAACGTAACTGAAAAAGTGTCCTGAAAAAATTAGATCGATTATCCTCTTATCAAATATCCTCTTACATCTTATATTTGTTAAAGCACTTATGAAGAAAGTTCAGTTGGATTGTGTTGTTTTTAATTCTATGAGAAATTTATTTAATTTAGTTTATTCTTTTGAAACCATTTTTAACAATGTTAATCCAAATACAGTTGTACAGTTTTCAGCAAAAATAAATTATCCGGAATAAACCTCCACTATACTTTTTATTGCCATTAAATCATCTATAGAAGCTGGCATGGCGTTCACCCCAAAAACCTCAAGCAAACTTGGAAATGTGTCTTTACATAATATAGATTTAAAAAAAAGTTATTTTAGGTTTTTGGAAAACTATGTATAACTTTAGATTTGTCAAGAAGATACAACCCAAGAATACATAGTTTTATTTTTTTTGCAACATATTTATGTGCCATCTACCAAGACTAAGGCCCCGTTTACACTAGTGTGTTTTAGTTTTAAAACGGCGTTTTAGATAAGAACGATCCGCGTCCACACTATCGTTTCACCTAGTGTTTCTGAACATATCTCCGTCCACACCACACCACCAAAAACATGTATCACATGACCATTCGCGCACTCTGGACATGCGCATTCTAGTATAAACAGGAAGCATGTGTCTCGCTTGGCATTTGGTTATTGTTAGTCAACAAACACCGGTTAAACAATAAACGCAATGGAAAAAAAGCAAGAGAGGTATTTTTGTGGACAGACGATGAGGTCGAGTTGTTACTAAATGTAACAAATAAATAAGTGTACAATGGCGCCTAAAACAGACAACAGTGCAAACAGTGCTCCCATTTCTGTGTCCAATCCATGTTGTTGTTTACAGTGAAGGCTGGTCTGAAGTCTTCCGGTAGCATTAAAGCCATGTGTTATAGTCATGTGATAGGAGCTTGACAAATAAGAGAAGGATACGCAATGACACAAAAGCCCCAATCAGTTAGCGAATCTCGGCAGCCCCGCCTCTGTTTTCAGATGTCTCCGTTTTTCCCCATCCACACTGAGACGGAGCAGCAGCGTTTCAGAATGAAAACGGGCTCTCCAGGGTTTCCAAAACGCTTCGTTTTCGGCGCCTGAAAACTCCAGCGTAGTGTGGACGGATGGCGTAACCGTAGCAAAACTTATGCGTTTTAAAACGAAAACGCATTAGTGTAAACAGGGCCTTAGTGAAACTTATGCATTTTAAAACTAAAACGCATTAGTGTAAACAGGGCCTAAGATGCAATATTAGGCTATTAACTGTTTCATTAATATACAGCACAAGTGTCTTATTATTCCCATGGGATCACACTGCTTTTTGTCACATCCCTGTCTCATGCATGTTTAAGAATTGGTTTTAACCACAGCGGTTCAAAATGTAGTTCTGCCGGGCGACAAAGTTATCAGCATGGTAAAAAACTACATTTCTGGTCAAACCATTTTTCTGCAATTTTAGACCATAAATGGAAATAATGAAGGGCAGTATTAATAGCTTAAAATGTGGGAGAGCGTTGATATTATGTGATTGTATTGTATTGCAATATGGAACAATTAAATGTTGATGTTAAATCAAAAGTATTTCACAAATACTTGAAAATGAGATGATTTAATGTCAATAATTCTGGATGGTTACAACTGAATTAAGTTTAAAATAACTGCATAAAATGATAAAATATGAAGCGATAAAACATATGATATTAATAGTACCCAGCTTAAATGTAAAATTAGAGTTACCAGAGGTAGACGAAGAGACGCAGGGGGAGGGAGAGAGAGACAAAGAGAGCAGGCCCAGAAGTTAGCCTGACTGCAGTAGAGTCAGAGAAGATAGACTCCAGAGGAGGAGAGGAGCAGAGCAGGAGAGAAGCAGGCCAGGAAAAGGGAAAAGAGCATAGTTTTACACCTATTTTGTATCTTTCTTGACCATGTGACTAAAGGCCAAATGCTGAGACATTCAAACTGACCAATCAACATGTGACCACATCATAAAACCCCCAAAGTCCACATATCAGGCCCCGATCTTATCAGTATCTGCCTTTGGAGTCAGTATGGACCTTCTTGAGTCAGTTTTGTCATATAAACAAATGCATATGATAATATGGCCTCTTACACATGCATCTCACTTTTCTTGTTTTTAGGTGCCACTCGTCCTCAAACTGTCCCTAGTCCTTCTGGCATCTCTGCTTTTACCCCAGGAGATTTTTCCAGCCCTGTTCCCTCAGTGGCTTTAACTTCCACGCTGCCACCCATGCAGTCTTCTGTTCCTCCTCTCCCTCTCAGCTCAATATCATCTCCGCTGGGTCTGAGTGGTCCATATGGCATCCCTAGTGCTTCATTTGCCTCTCCAGCTGCCGGTCCTCCACTCAGCACCGGTCCCCCTCTGGGCCCGGTTCTCTCTGCCCCTCCAATGGGCCCTCCCACCACTGGCTTCTCTGTTAGCGGAGGATATGACATCACCCGTGGCCATGCAGGGCGCACACCTCAGACGCCATTGATGCCCAGTTTCTCCAGTGCCTCACCTATGCCAGGTAACACTCAACGTTTAAAAAATGCTCGCTTGGTGTTAGTTCACCCAAAAGTGAAAATGATGTTATTAATTAATCACACTCATGTTGTTCTAAACGCTGAGACGATCATTTATATTCAAAACACAGATTAATCCATTTGTGCTCAAGTTTTTAAAAATGTTTTCATGCATGTAGCCTTGTTAGTAGCGTCCTACATGAGCATGTTTTGCTTATATTTTCTCCAGGTTTTTGATTTTTTTTTTCAAGAAAATTGTATTTGAATGGGGAGCAATTATGTGGCAAGAACCCTTCAGTGTAAAATTTGAATAGGAGGAGAACATTTAGCATTCTAACTCAAAACATCTGCTTTCAACAGATCAATTTATGTTCATAAACACATTTATTATTATTAAAATTAGACAACCATTTGATATGAACCCCCTGAAAATGATCTATCACAAAGAATTCATCTATTTGTCTTAAAGTGTGTCAAAAAGATCAATTAAAGAGTTACATATACAGCTGAAGTCAGAATTATTTGCCCCCTTTGATTTTTTTTATTTAATTTAAATTTTAAATATTTTATTAATTTAAAATATTTTCCAAATGATATTTAACAGAGCAAGGAAAGTTTCACAATATGTCTGACAATATTTTTTCAAAAAAAAAATTTTTTTTTTTTTTTTCTGACAAAAAGTTTTATTTGTTATATTTCGGCTAGAATAAAAGCAGTTTTTCATTCTTTAAACACCATTTTAGGGACAAAATTATAAGCCCCTTTAAGCTATATTTTTTCCCGACTGTCAACAGCACAAACCATTATCATACAATAACTTTCCTAATTACTTTAACCTGCCTAGTTAACCTAATTAACCTAGTTAAGCCTTTAAATGTCACTTTAAGCTGTATAGAAGTGTCTTAAAAAATATCTAATCAAATATTATGTACTGTCATCATGGCAAAGATAAAATAAATCAGAAATTAGAAATTAGTTATTAAAACTATTATGTTTAGAAATGTTGAAAAAAATCTTCTCGTGGTTAAACAGAAATCGGGGAAAAAAATAAACAAGCGGTCTAATAATTCAAATGCGGGTAGATTTCAGATGTGGCGGGTTGAAGCCCGCGCTTTACTTTTATCATTAGAGTATATAGAAAATGCCCAACAAAAGAAATCTCTAATTTTCAATTACAAATCGCATCAGTTTTTGCTGGGTTTGTCTGGCTTTCAGGAAATGAGCGAGCTGATGCAGCTGCTAAAGATGCTTTGAAGCAAGTAGTGAACAAATGCCAAATTCCTCTTTCAGAGATGAGACCTTTTATCAACATTTACATTTTAAACGAGTGGGATGCATTAGAAAATAATAAATTACACAAAATCCAACCTGAATTCCCACACATAATTTTAAGACATTTTAAGAATAGATTTGATCAAGCGCGACCAAGGTATTTCCCCACCGGCAGCTGTAGTTGCCAATTAAACATTTGACAAAGTATACAAAAACTTTAGATCTCTTGAAGGATTTTCTTTATTTGGACAACTCTAGAGACCTTTATGATTATATTGATACACAGTTAAAGTCAGAAATATTACCCCCCTTTTGATTTTTTTTTTCTTTTTAATATTTCCCAAATGATGTTTGACAGAGCAAGGAAATTTTTACAATATGTCTGATAATATTTTTTCTTCTGGAGAACGTCTTATTTGTTTTATTTCGGCTAGAATAAAAGCAGTTTTGAATTTTTTTAAAACAATTTTTGAGACAAAATTATTAGCCCCTTTAAGCTAGTTAAACCTTTAAATGTCACTTTAAGCTGTATAGAAGTGTCTTGAAAAATATTAAGTAAAATATTATTTACTGTCATCATGGCAGAGATAAAATAAATCAGTTATTAGAAATAAGTTTTTAAAACTATTATGCTTAGAAATGTGCTGAAAAAATCTTCCCTTCATTAAACAGAAATTGGGGAAAAAATAAACAGGGGTGCCAATAATTCAGGGGGGCTAATAATTCTGACTTCAACTGTACATTTGTGAACAAAAAAACATTTTAGTATGATGAAAATTGGCTTTATTTGGGAGGGCTTGCATCCATTTTGCCTCCTGGAATAAGGGGTAGGAAGTTGTAGGAAGTTATGTGACAGAAATTAAATCAATTATTTTTTTTTTCTTAAAATCTTTTATTTGGTTGTTTTCTTGCTTGACATTGAGAAATTAAACATACAACTTGTAGATAATTACTTATAAAAGGAAAAGGGCAACTATGAACTTCGGCAACTATAGTGCCGGTGCGCTTAAATAGGTTAAGTTATTTTTGATGAAATCTGAGACCTTCCTCATCCTTTATAGACTACAACAGACTTTCAGTTATTAAGTGGGAAGAAAGCAGAAATGAGTAAGCTAACCTGCATTATTTTTTAGCTGTTGAGTGAACACGGGATGTAAACTTGTTGATACATAATTGAACATTTTGAGGTTAAACGGATATACTAGATAATCACTAAAGACTGCCACTTCTAAATTATTTTAAAATATTACACTACATAAGGACATGACGGATGATTTCGGGCCCAGATCTAACCCCTTAGCTTCATTATAGGAATTAAATATCATATTATCAATCATTCATTCATTAATTCATTTTCTTGTCAGATTAATCCCTTTATTAATTCGGGGTCACCACAGCGGAATGAACCGCCAACTTATCCAGCAAGTTTTTACACAGCGGATGCCCTTCCGGCCACAACCCATCTCTGGGAAACATCCACTCACACGTTCTCACACACACTCGTACACTACGGACAATTCAGCCTACCCAATTCACCTGTACCGCATGTCTTTGCACTGTGGGGGAAACCGGAGCACCCGGAGGAAACCCAGGCGAACACAGGCAGAACATGCAAACTCCACACAGAAATGGTAACTGAGCCGAGGCTCGAACCAGCGACCTTCTTGCTGTGAGGCGACAGCACTACCTACTGCGCCACTGCTTCTCCCCATATTATCAATGCTGATGAGAAAATGTTTTTACAGGGATTGTTACTAATCCCATGATGCAGCAGCCAGTGTCTGGAGGGTTAGATGTCAGCTCACCCATTACATTTCCTGAGGATGTTGAAGATCCCAGAGTCACTCCGGACAGCAACGCACCTGGTGGATTATGGGGCTTCATCAAGGTAACTGCACACGTGTATACTTAAGGCTAGGTATACGTGTGCTTAACATGTCCTGATCCAGATGTGTTTTAATCACAGGGTGTTGCTGGAAACCCAATGGTCAAGACCGTCTTGGATAAAACCAAACACTCTGTGGAGTCCATGATCACCACGTTGGATCCTGGGATGGCACCTTATATCAGTGAGTAATGATATGTTGGTGTTTAGATTTATATTGTTGATAAAAAGAGAATTTTATTTTATTTTATTTACGAAGATGGTTTAATGACAAATTCAGTTTGATTTTATGTGAATTTTACTTAAGTTTTTATTATATGTGGGCATAGATGTATTTTTTAATCTAGATTAATCGCACTGTAATCTAGGAATTAATCCAGATTAAAATTGTTCATTTGAATTCTGACGAAGGCATTCAGATTATGTGTGCTACCCAAATATTGACTAAAAGTAAGTCTTTGAGAATGGGTTTCTCAAGCCAGGTGGCGCATTAGACCAGGGGCTCATCTCCTGTTTCCAAAATGCATCACAAACTGCTTGAGAGACTGTTCTACTATGATAATTGGTGATGAAAATAAATGATGTTCAATAAGATGTACTTGTGTTTACAAACTGTTTATTCGGTTAAACATCAATTTTGAACTGTAGGTCTACATAAGCTCGAAACCGTTATTTTTGATTACCTAAATCCGACTAAAGTCATAACTGAACCAAACAGAAATGGAACTAAGATGTGGAGTATGCATATATTAGTGGCATTATTGAAGTAAACACCACGATCAAACGATTACCGTCATGTTGGACTTTTAGCCAAATTTTCCGACAAGATCCACACACATGGCTGTCAGTAAAGGACCACACACACACACACACACACACACACACACACACACACACACACACACACACACACACACACACACACACACACACAAAGCAAAATGCGGAAGTTTTTTTTCTTTCCATTCGCCATGTGTTATTAATTTCCATAAGTCTCTCACCAGTCCTTACTCCTTATTTGCGTCTAATACCCCAGTTTGTCACGGGGGCATGAATGAAATGTTCGTGAGTGAAGGTGAAACTGCCAAACTGCAGTTAAAGTCACCCAAAATTACAGGAAACTTTTACATGAAAGCACTTCATGTAAAACCCTTAATTATATTATTGGCTATTAGGGCAAAAGACTACATTACTGATGTCTATGTAAATGTAGTAAGTAGTGTCTTCGAAGTAAGATCCAGAAGGGCATCTTGCTGATTTGATTCAGAAGTGCACTTTTTTTTTGTCAGATGGCTCACTGGTTACGTATACATCCGCGCTAAAATATCAAGGTGAAAGTCATCATACCTTGCATAGAATAGATCCAGCGCTCAACCCAACTTTGAGAATAGATTAACGGCGATATATATTTTTTCAATCGTGCAATAAGAGTCTCACGTTAACGCAGCATGTTAATGCCGATAATGGCTCCCCACTTTTTTTTATTTGATCTCAAAAATCTGTCCACCGCTATATTTGCAAAAAACAAAACAAAACTTAAAGCATTTCATTTCTATGGTTCTTCTGTTCGGAGTATGTTTACATCGCTAAGTTGAGAAATGCTGTAGGAACAGGATGTTGAAAATGCACTTCTTGTTTATATGTCATTATTTAATGGTTTGTGTTTGTAAGAATCTGGAGGAGATGTGGACATTGTTGTGACGTCAGATAAGGAAGTGAAGGTGGCAGCGGTACGGGATGCATTTCAGGAGGTGTTTGGTTTGGCCATGGTGACAGGAGAAGCCGGTCAGTCCAACATTGCCCCACAGCCAGTGGGATATGCTGCAGGGGTCAAGGTAAATATTCTTCTTTTTTAAAGGATAATTCACCCAAATCTTAAAATGTACTCACCCTAAAGTGGTCCCAAACCTTTATAGGTTTCTTTATCCTGTTAAACATGAAAAAAAGTTATTTTGAAGAAAGCCAAAATCCTGTAACCGCTTATCTCCATAGTAGGAAAAAAAATACTATAGAAGTCAATGGTTTCATGTTTCCAGCTTTCTTGGAAATGTCTTCTTTTGCTTTCAGCCAAAGAAAGAAAATCAAACAGGTTTGTGACAAAGTGATAACTGAATTTTCAGTTTTGGGAAGATTCTCCTCTTAAAGTGTCTATCAACGTCTAAATGTTTACAACTGTAGGAAACTTAGTCATGCAACTAATGATATATAAGCACATATATTAATCTGAAGTTTGCATGGGTGTCTTAGGGAGCTCAGGAGCGCATTGACAGTCTTCGCCGTGCTGCTGTTATTCATGAGAAGCAGCCTGTGGTCTCTGTGGAAAACTTCATCGCTGAACTCTTTCCAGACAAGTAAGAAAAGTCAATTTGAGACAAAACTTGAAATGCACAAATGTAAAAACATCACTTTAAACCACGGTTCCCAAACTTTCTTGAACAGACATTCTTAAAGCACCATTAGCTTTAAATCAAGCACTTTTGTAATTCGCACCCAGCATGTGTATTTCCTTAAGGTACTGACTGTTTCACTTACACATTATATTTGTTACAAATGTCATTTTCAAAAATGTTCAAAGAACTTTAATAAAATATGTTAAATATTCAATACTGGTAATATTTAAATGTGGTTTCTGAAATATTGATAATATGTGCATTAACTGTCAGTGTTTTTGTACAAGATTTAAATTTAAGATTTTTAATTTAAGAGTTTGTCAGTTTTTTTTTGTTCTGTTTTTGACAATTGAGTACAATCATAGAAATAACACCATAAACTAATTTGATTTCAAATTCAAGAACTTTCAAGGACCTGTGTTTGTTTTTAAGCACTTTCCAGGCCTTAAATCCAAATGCCTGAAGTATTTTCAAGAAGCATGGGAATATGAAAGCTGGATCATGGTTAGGGATGGGTACCGAAACTTGGTACTTTATCGGTATCGGTGCTACATCATAAAAGGCAGAGGTATCGAAAAGATCTGACGTTAACAGTTTTGCTATCAGTACTGGAGAATTATTGCTGAATAAACATTACTTACAGTAGCGTGATATAACTGACCGACCTTTTCTAATTTGCAATATTTGAAATTCATTTGCTCAATTGCCATCTCGCATGAGAAATGCTTGTGTTTTCTGACAAGCGCGTCAAGTATAAAAGCCTTTAGAGTTCTAAGCTGTGCGCACGCACTTAGTGGAGACTTGTGCCAAACGCACACACCTAGCTTGCAGAGTGAACCAAACGGGCTGCATTTCCTGAATGGACAACGACAATGCACGTTGCAACAATACTGCAGCAAGTTGTTTTTCTTGTATAAGTGGAAGCTGGCTAAGTGAAAATATCTTTTTAAAGTGCATTGACTGCAATGAAAAGTAACAAAAGTTTTTGACTGCCTAGCTAGTAACCGTAACGTTACACCGTTACATCATCCACATCATTATCCCAGCAGTCAATCACGTTAACAGTTAAATAAACACACACATTCGGTTACAATGAAAACAGCATTTTTTCTGCAGTAGCCTAAATAAATCTTAAACATTAGAAATGTTTTTACATCAGCTGTATTTACAAATATAGCCTATGAATAGCCTAATAATAAACTATGCATATTAAGAAATTATGAACAACTGAGAGTCATTGTCCCTCAAACCATTGTACATTCTTTTACAGGAAAAAAAAAATTACAGTTATTGGTTAATTTACAGTTATTGGTTTTGTTTTACATTAAAAACATAATAATTAAAAAAAGGATTGTTAATTCTGTTCAATTAGTTTTTAGTTTTGTACATAAATGCTACATAAAGTACAGATAACTGTTAAAGTCCCGAACCGATAAGTGGTATCGATAAAAGTAGTTCTACCGTTAAAACCTTACCCATTCGTAATCATGGTGCGATGTTTATTATTTTTATTTTTTGCTGCCGTACAAGCTTGTACGCAATTGTTTTTATTTTTGTCTATCGGAAGAAGTTGCACTTAAACCATCGATCATGGTCATGGCTCGTACTTTGATAGAGGAATTTACAAGCACAGCCAAGTAGCTTGTGAGCTCTTGTTCATGTTTTTTACATTTTAAACTATGTGATCAGTCCGCTTGAAGTCAAAAGGTGTGTGTTCGCCTATCAGGAGGATAAAGTCACCAAACAGCAAGCCCTGTATGAGGTGTCCGAGATGATAGTTTACAACACACTTTGCTTAATAATTCACACTGACTTGAAGATCAGGTGTAGGCATGGGACGATAAACAGTTTCAAGCTTTGACTGCAGTTTGGAAAAGTGTAGGATTTAAAACCACAAAAAATTTCTGTTATTCCATTTCTAAACATCCAAACACACTATAGACCTGAACAGTGCAGTGGCTTACTGTATATTCAAAGAAAAGAGTAATATTCAAAGACGTTTTTTCAAGTTCTGATCTATCAAATCTGTGTTTTTTTAATGAATGATAGGTCTATGATTTATTTTAATTAAATAGCCTGATAAGTTTACTGTTCCAAAATATTTCATATGCTTCTTAAAATAAAATGTAATGTGTCCACTGAAAAAAATAACATATTTTAGAGTAGTAATCACAATACCGTCATAATCAATGAAAGCAAATGAGAGCAAAGAAAACAATGTTTCCTCTGTCCATGTTTGCATGGAATTTCATCTCTACTGCTTCGGAATTTGCTAGGTCTTAAAATTTTCACTCATGATGTCTGCATGAACATTTTCCCACCATCAGAATTTTCTGTGTGTATGTCTGCCTTAATGGGCAATATTTGATTCCTGCATTTGACCTTTATCGAGACACTTATGCTTAACTAAATGTTAAATATATTTGGTTTGTCTTTTATGTAACTTTTGTAATAGAAACTTGTGGTGTTAAAATGAATGTCATATTTTTTGCTACTTAAACAAAAGAAGCACAGATCATCTATAGCTTAGTTTGTTACGCAATACATAATGAAGCATTCACATTGATCATCTTATGAAAAAAACTTAATGGTAAATAAAACTGAAAAAGGGTATATGTAGAAAGTAGGCAAAGACACGCAGATGACAGCTGTGCTTCATGTTGAGGAATATCATATCATAGTGCTTTCAAAGTATAGAAAATAACCATGCATGTTTTCCACCAGGTGGTTTGATATAGGTTGTCTGATCTTGGATGATCCTGGATATGGGATTCACATTGAGACATTCACCCAGGCTACACCTGTGGCCCTTGAGCATGTACAGCAGGTAAAACATCATATCTGCTGCAACACACTCATTTTCTTATGAATACTGTTCAGGCTGGGTTTCCCGATAATGATGCACCTTGGCTCTTAAAATTGTTACAAACACTCCATGTGCATTTCCCCAAAGTGCACATAACGTGATTGTGCAAGAAGCATAGACTGTAATAGAAATGGACGTAGTATCCGTGACTTACCCATATAGGTTTCTAAAGAATGCAAAAGAAGCTACAAGTAGGCGTGGCCAACCATCGCCATTTTGTTTGCACACGCAAACCGACCAGGGGAAACCAAACATAGGCAAAGAGGCGGAGCGTGAGTGTAGTAACAGATGCCTGCTAGCATTTTACTTTTCTTTGGTAGAAACTTGTTTTCTGATCCCATGTAATTGGTTGTACACTATATCAATAAAGTGTTTAGTCTTTTAAAAACACTGTCGTAGTACATTGAGCCACTAAACATTGTTCTTATGATGTTTTTCAATAGGAAAACTTCCAAACACTTAAAATATAGTCTGTGTTAGTAAATGCAAGGCTATTTATGAAATCTAAGCATAACACTGTATGACAACATTTCAGACGACTGTTCTAGAGCCTACAGCTAATCAATATATCAGATTCTGGAGTGCATTCAAATTCTAAAGAAAAATGTAAATGATAAATGATCTCAAATAAAACAAATACATTTGTAGATATGGTATATAGGCATAAAATTTTACTAACCTGGGAAACGAAGGCCACATGAATGGTTTGTGGGCACAAATAAGTGCACACAGCATGCCATAGCATGCTCAAAAAGCAACTGACTCTGTAAAGCCACATAAAACAACGCAAAAATACGATGAATATGCCGAGTTCAGCAGCTAATCAGCCGGAATCAGCTGAGGTGAAGCGACTGCGACCAGCGAGACCTAGCTGTCACTCAATTGGCCACGCTCTTAATTATGCAGACTTGATATAGCTCAATATTTATGAAATGGAGTTATAAAAAAATTCATACATGGATACAGACTAAACTTAAATGTGAACGAGCTTACATTAAACTAGAGTACTTAAATGTTAAGCAAGCATTCTCATTGGCTTTGCAAAATAAGTAGGGATGTTAACAGCTACTGTTAAAGTCCCGATATCCAAAAACCACAAGAACAGTCAGTGTTATATATTTTGCTGATGTGTGTTCTTGCATTTTGCCAAATATTACAAGGAATGTTAACCAAATAAATAAATAAATAACCAATACTAACTACTGGTCATTGGCTGCATCTGAAATTCCCAACTCAATACCTACTCAATACTTGAGTAGTTAGCAAAATTAAGTTTTAATGTGCTTCATGACAATAAGTAAAGTATGTTTTTATAGAATGTATGTGAGTGGTATGAATAAAACTTTGACGTACTTCATCATGACCCATGCCAGTAGTGTCACCAAACACCAAAGATGCTTTAATATGTCATGCGTTTTATCAGATTGCTCAGAGCAACATTATAGAAGAACCCTAAAATGTATTTAGCATGATAGATGACCTGAAGAACTGGAAGTGGTCAACTGTGATAATTAATAAAAGCTCCTGGTTTCGTGCTGGTGATCTCTCATCAGCAATTGCTTCTACCTGATCTAAAGTGAGGACTTTCAATGCTTCGCAAATGCCTTATAAATGACAATTAAAGGCTCGATCATGTTCTAAAGAGGGAAAAAATAACTTTATTAATTTCAAGATACACAAATGAAGCTTTATCAAATAAAAAGTTATATTCGCAGGCTTATCTCATATACAACTATTGTAGCATCGCTTAATAACATTGAAATATTTGATCATAATATATTGTTAAATTATCATATTGTTGCGGTTTTATCCTATTTTATGATAAATTGTGACACTCCTGTTATTCAGCAATATTTTTATTTTACAGTAATTATATTTTTTAGAGGCGGGGCAGTGGCTCAGTAGGTAGTGCTGTCGCCTTATAGCAAGAAGGTCGCTGGGTCGCTGGTTCGAACCTCGGCTCAGTTGCCATGAACTAGCTTTTCTGCATCTGAGATGGATAGCATACTTCATAACTTGGCAATATTTCTTAGATGAAAGAATTATATATATTATTTATTGTAGAGCTAACGTTAACTTTGTATCCCTAATAATACTAATAATATTTCTCACAACTCGATAATTGCAGGTCGAGTTGTGAGATCTGCTGTGTACAGGATTTAGGCCCAATGAGTAATAATTCTGTCTTTTCTTGAGTTTAAGAGAAGAAAATTGTTGGTCATCCAGTCTTTAACATCTCTAATACACTCGGTTAGCTTAGACAGTTCAGACATCTCATCAGGTTTAGTTTAAATAAATAATTGAGTATCATCTGCATAGCCGTGAAATCTGATCCCATGTCTTCTGTGTATTGTAAACAGCAAAGAGCCTAAGACTGATCCTTGAGGCACTCCATACTTTACTGGGCTGACTTGTGAAGGCTGCTTTACATTAATATTTACAAACTGCTAACGGTCAGCTGAGTATGACTTAAACTATTGTATAGCTTGTCCCAGGACACCTGCAAAATTTAAGCGGTCTGTAAGGATATTGTGGTCAACGTTGTCAAATGTAGCACAAATATCCAGTAAAACTAATAACGAGATGCACCCTCGGTTAGCAGCTAAGAGTAAATCATTGGCTATTTTCACTAGTGCGGTTTATGTGCTGTGATGAGAAATGAAACTTTACTGAAACAGTTTAAAAACATTGTTCGTTTGCAGAAAGGAGCATAATTGCGCAGAAGCGACTTTTTCTAATATTTTAGAAATGAGTGGACAATTAAAATAGGCCTATAATTAGCTAGGTTGCTGGGGTCCAGTTGTGGTTTCTTAATATTAGGCTTAAGGTTTCTCCTAATACAGGTGGCAGTTCTTTCAGTAATTTTGTTGGAATTGGGTCTAACATACATGTAGCTGATTTAGGGCTATTTATAATTTTATCTAGCTCTTCCTGTTCTATGAGTTTGAAGTACTGTAGGTTATTTTGATTCAGTGGAATATTTACTGGATCTGAAGGATAAGCCGGTGCAGAAAGTTTAACATCTTCTATTTTCTGTCTGAAGCCTTCTATTTTATCACTGAAAATTTCAGAAAGTCATCACTACCAAGTTGCGGTGGGACACTTAGTTCCAAAGATGACCGATTATTTGTTAATTTAGCCATGGTGTTAAATAAAAATCTAGAATTGTTATGATTATTTTTTTATCAGTTTACGGAGGTGATCAGCCCTGGCAGATTTAGGAGCCCTCCTATAGCTGGACATACCGTCTTTGTAATTCTAAAGACCTCTAATTTATTTATTTTTCTTTTTTCTCCCCACTTACATTCCAGGGCACGGGTTGCTATTACTACCTATCAAACTGCATAATGTTTCATAATTTAGTTCTTAAGCAGTATATAACATGGAAGTGAAATATGTGTAGTAGATTGGCTTGTGAAGCACGCTTTAAACTTTCTTTTGTTGTTTTCCTGCAGGCGCAGTCACTGACTCCTCCAGATTACAACCTCCGCTGGTCTGGTCTTCTAGTGACTGTTGGGGAAGTTCTGGAGAGAAATGTGCCCAATGTCAGCCGCACAGATTGGCATCAGGCCTTCACGGGAATGTCTCGCCGACAGATGATCTACTCAGCCGCCAAAGCTCTGGCTGGCATGTACAAACTACGTTTGCCCTCCAGGACAGTGTGAATGACGAATGCCATTAATTACAGACCACAGATTCTTACAACGTCACACTTCCAGCTCGAGGTGTTCTGTGTCTTTTTTTCATGTGTCATCATGAGTTTTGGCTTCAGGTCTGAAATAAACCAGTTACAGGGCAGTATAACTGTAATCTAACTTTTAAATTATTGATTGAATATTTTTTCCATTGATTGCATTCGAGTTGGATTGGTATTAAAAATTGACCACAATATCCCAATCTGATGTAAATAGTTGAATATGAAACGCGTGTTGTGCGTCATGATCTAATTTCATACAGAGTGACATCCTTTAGAATATTCATATCTCACCAAGGAAATGATGACTTTCTGTATGCCAATGTATAACACTTTCGTTTAAGTTTACAATCAAATACATGGAGGATTTTAAGGATAGCTAAAATTCTTAACATTGTGAATATATTGTTTTGATGTTACGGTTTGGAGTTCATTTTGTAGCATTTCTCTTTAGCTGAACTGCCGTTACAGAAGTGTGTCTGCACGTTTGTTTCTTTTATACCTACAGCAGGTCTATGTTAGCTAATGTTTACTGCTTTCAGATTAAGAGAATCACCAGCTTTGCTGCATATGTAAACAAACCAACTTCTTTAAATGTTGTTACGTTAAAAAAACCTGACTATATATGTTCTATGGATAGGTGTTTCCGATGATTCACTCAGAGTGACGCAGGGCACACCTGAGCATGACCTCTGAGTTGACAGCTGTTGTGTAGCACATGAACATATATACTAAATGATTGCTGTCAAAGCCAAAGCTGTCATGGACTGAAGGAGTTATTGAAAAGTGTAAACTGCCTTTAAACTGTTTATATGTTTATATTTCTAGAACAACTGTGGATGATTTTATTTCATGGCATTTTACAGATGTGCCTTTGACCAGCAGATGAGTAAAACATTTTGTAAAGCATCATGTTCTATTTTCCTTTTTTTAAATTTCCTTTTTTATTGGTGTATGCTTATTTTGTCATTTCATGCATTAAAATTTTACTTTAGCTTAGTCCTTTTATTCGCCACGGCGGAATGAACCGCCAACTTATCCAGCAAATGTTTTACACAGTGGATGCAACCCATTACTGGGAAACATCGTCTTTAGGGGAAACCAGAGCACCCGGAGGAAACCCATGCAAACACTGGGAGAACATGCAAACTCCACACAGAAATGCCAACTGACCCAGCCAGGACTCGAACCAGCAAACTTCTTGTTGTGAGGCGACAGTGCTAACCACTGAGTTACTGTGTTGCCCTGTTCCAGGGGTGTCCAAACTCTGTTCTAGAGGGCCGGTGTCCTGCACATTTTAGTTCCAACTCCAATTAAACACACCTGAACCATCAAATCAAGCTCTTTCTAGATATACTAAAAACTTTCAGAGGTGTGTTGAATAAAGTTTGAGCCCTATTTTGTCCTTTATTCATGTTTATAAATCACAATTAGTTAATAATATCTTTAAGCAATAGATCCCACTGAAAACTGCATTGATATAGCCTAAAAGAATCGAAAATCCCTATTGTTTAGAGTCAACACATATTGTCACATTACAGAAACATATAAAACAATTAAAGCTACAAGCAGCGATGATAGGGACCTCGCACCCGGGCTCACTGCCGCCCTGTGGCCTCAGAATGACAGAAGAGCGAACAACAATAATTAAAGCCGATATATATATAACGAACTTGAGTAAATCACAGATTTATGCCAAATTTCCTCCTGTCAGCAGGTGGCGCTATAACTGTGACTCAAGATTGCCATGTAGATGCCTTCAGTAAAGAAATATTATCAACCATGTGAATTTTCAGGCAGATCGGACGTTGTGTGGTTGAGTTGTAAGCCAAACTACCTTCTGTCAGCAGGTGGCGCTATGACTGACTCAATGTTGGCATATAGATGTCTTCAGGAGAGACATCTCATCTAACCTGTGAATCTTCAGGTAGATCGGACTTTGTTTGGCTGAGTTATAAATAATTTTCTGTTGCCAGCAGGTGGCGCTATAACTGTATCTGGATATTGGCATGTAAACATGTTCAGGTCAGGACTCTTATCAAACACGTTAAGCAGAAATCATTGATTAGGATTAGACTATAAGCATCTCTCTTTAAAATGAACAAATTTGTTTAAATATTTTTGGCATAGTTCACCTTTTTTTTTAAAAATGAAACTTGTCATTACTTACTCGTTTACTTGTTCCAAATCGGTTTGCCTTTTTGAAGAAAGCTGGAAATCTGTAATCATTGACTTCCATAGTACTTGTTATATATATAGCCTATATATATATCTATATCTATATATCTATATATCTCTATATATATATATATATATATATATATATATATATATATATATATATATATATATATATCCATAATCAGTATTAATCCAATCAGAATGATCCTAGCTTAATATAAATGGATCACTTTCTCCTTATTGCTTTATCTTCTTTTTGGAAGAATCCCCCCTTCCACCCCATCTCCTCCTTTTTCTCCCCTTTTAAAGGGGGAGTGATCAAGACCTACCTGATCTCGGATCCCCTGATATGCTTCTAGACAGGGCGGACTGGGCTCAAATATCTCCGAGCTCAGGGTTCTCTACCAGGACAGCATGCCAAACCTGCTATAACTGCCAAAATCTAAGTGGGAACACTTGAAATAAAGATTGATTGATTGACCCTTCTAATATGATAAAAGTCCATTTTAATGTTGATAGAACACATAGCCTTCTGTATGATAAGTTCACTAAATCCTCATTGCAGCTCTTTGTAAACATAGTATTATATATACCGAATCTAATAAAATAGCACTGTGAGCTAATTAATTTAATTTAAATGACTTGCTCTATAAGCAATTTTGAAATGTTTGTAACTGTCATAGAATCGCTGCTTTTGAGCAGTTTCGTACATCAATATGATTTATTAAATAGCTGATTCAATTCCTCCCTCACGTTTGGTGGTGTCGCAAAAAGGTTGGATAAAATGAAATGGGAAATGAGTTAAATAGTATAAAAGCCTACAGAAAGGCTACATTTTAACACAAATGATTCAAATGAATCAATTCAGAATCATCACTGTGCCAAAGCTTCACTCGCGCACGCACTCACAGCAGAGCAGAGCTGAGGCGCGACCGTGTGCGCCGCAGCGTCGCGTTCACGCTTCTGCAATAAAGCGGAAGCGTTTTTCTTCTAACATTATTTTAAACTGATAACAGTGTGTCTGTCGGTGTCAGCTGCCTGTCCGCGGTCTGTGGACTGATGTGGATGTGACGCTAGAATGGGAGAATTCCGCTGGATTTAACCGTAACTGTGGCAATGGATCCCACATTCTCACAGCTGGGTAACAAAGGTGCGAGTCATATACATCATAGAATACATTCACAATCCGATCACGGTTATTTCATGATTTTTTTTCTTTTAATTCCATCCGATTAGCCACTGTTTCTTGTCATTGACTCTTGTCATTTCACTTGTTGAACAATATGACACGAACAGATGCCGCATTGCCAAGATTCACTGATTCGTTGAGTCTTGACTATCAATTACGCTCGTATTTTCATAAACACTGTCTTTTCTATATGACAGCGTGTGTACTGCTGGAAAGCACAGTAGTTCACGTTTACACCATCTGACTGCAGTAAAAAGGGTGTCGCCTCACCCACACTCTTAAGTTCATGTCTCCTGTATATACCTAATTTTGTTGGTGTCTTTCCAGATTCCAATTCTCAAAGAATCACCGTTCATCAGATATGCTCTTAAAATTAAACGTGGGTGATATATAGGTAGAACAAATAATTGAGGCTAATGGATATTTCGTAAGGTAATTAGATTTTCTTTGCATGAGTTTAGGCATTGTCGTCCTCATGCAGCAGCTTTTACAGTGATGCCATTGGTGTAGGCTATTAAGACTAAAGCTTATTCGTTTTGCTGTGGTTAATTGGGAAATAAAATAACCAAAATCCATTCTAGAAATTTTGCATAATAAAAAAAAAACAATAATTAACCATTAAATAGCCATCAAAAGTTGTCACAAACTTGACAGCGACTGAAATCATAATAAAAACTGCACAAAATCTCAAAAGGTGAACATAAGTTTGTGTGTTCAGTTTGCCTATGCTGACTTATATGAATTGATTTATAATGTGTATAGAAGACATTCATGTGAAATGAACTATTCATGTGTCATTATTAGTGCAGTTACTCCTATGTGAAACACTACATCTCTCTTTCTCACCCCTGCCTCTCTATACTGCAGCAAGATCTGCATTCATTCACCCCTTCCTAATGGAAGCATCAATCCATTGCTTAAACATCATCACACAATCATAACATTCTTCATTTCACTTATAGGCTACTAAAAATTGTGTTAATCGAGAGTTCAGCCGCTGAATTTTCAGCAGCTGGATGAAATGAATGTCAGAAGCTTCTGCACATGGTTAGTGTTGTATGTGATGGATAACTGCAGTACATACTGATTCCCGTGTGCTAAAAGGGATAGTTCATCCAAAAGGGAAAATTTACTCACTATTTACTCACCTTTGGGTGATTTCAAACCATTATGAGTTTTTTTTTCTTCCGTTGGAGAAGATTTTTAAAGAGAGCTGAAGACCTGTAACCATTGACATCCATGGTATTATTGTGTGTTTATAAGAAGAAACACTTAACGGTTTAAAACAAGTAAAGGTTGAGTAAATAATGACAGAATTTTCATTTTTTAGGTGAACTATTATTTTAAGATCCTATGGATTGTACTGTGAAACATTCTCTTATACATTAAAAACTTTGGTGTTTTCATGATTAAATGCTTCCTTGTTACAGCATCACATTTCCAGTGGCTTATCTTTGGCTGTTTTGTTGAGTGTCATGCATTTCTTTCCTTTTCTGTGTGTCCTGCTGTTTTCAACACGAGATGTAAAACATAAAACTAGATTAATAACAGTATACAGAGCTTTATTTAAAGCTCATTATCACCTTTGCCCCAACCTTTTGATTTTGAACTTAGATGTGAAAATGACATTGAAATTCAATGATTGTCAATCTTCAATGCTTTGGGGCAAATATGTAAGCTTGGCCTTATTTGAACAGGCAGATGTCAGATTGTAGCTCATGAAGTGAAAAGCTCAACATGTTTAATAAAGCAAAAGTTATGTGCCTTTTAGTGTATGTAAAAATAAAACAATGAATGCATATTTCATTATATTACATTAAACATGTATTTTACAAATGAAAAATCTTAGAATTGATAGAAAGAAAGTCAAAGCTAATAATTGAAACAAATTATAGTTCAATTTAGATGAATATTCTCAAAAAAAAAGCTGCGCAGTGCCAAACATTACCACCAGATGGCCCCATGTTATGTTTTTTTTTTTTTACCGGATGTCCGCTGGGTCTTAAAAAGTCTTAAATCTCAAAAGCTAAATTTTAGGCCCTAAAAAGTCTTAAATTTACTGAAATATTGTATTGTAGGTCCTAAATCTTTTTTTAACAGGTCTTAATTTTCCTTTGTACATGTATAGCTACGCAATCTGGCCAAAACCCATCCAATAAATAAAAAAAATAACTTTTAACTTTTTATTCAAGTATGTACTTTTAACTCTACCACATTCTAACTTCAATATAATGATTTAATTTCTTTCTTTACAATGACGTTTGTTTAAAAGTTTTCTATGCATTTATTGCGGAGGAAGCTGATCTGGACAGATTGCTGCATACATTTAGTTTATTAAATTTTTTAAAACCATTAAAACATTTTTTTAAACGTGTATGTATACAACTAGAGCTTCCTTGTTTTGACAACATTTCAAATATTTTGCTCAGAATTAAGTTATATATATATATTATTAAATTATTTTTATTGTATTATTTTATTTATTAAATTAAAAAAAAAGTTTGATAGGGCAAATAAAATGTTTTGAAAACTATTGAAACATTTTTTTAAAACGTGTATGTATACAACTAGAGCTTCCTTGTTTTGACAACATTTCAAATATTTTGCTCAGAATTATCTAAAATATATATATATATATTAATTATTAAAATATTATTACTGTATTATTATGTTTATTAAATTCTAAAAAAAGTTTGATAGGGCAAATAGAAATGTTTTCCAACTGGACCATTCGAAAAACTCAGCGTTTAGCCCTGTATGAGTCTAAAATTTCATTCATAATGGTCTTAAAAAGTCTTGAATTTAACTTGCTGAAACCTGCAGAAACCGTTTAAAGTAGACATCAAATTAGTATGTGAAGTTTGGGGGTATTTGATTTGAATTTACAATCATTAAACAATGGGCATGACAGAAAACATGTTTATAAGCAATATGGTTCTTAAGTTTTTATAGTATACCTAATCTGAAATAAAAAAAAAACTCTCTCAGTCAATGCTGAAGATGCAGGCACTGCCTGTGTATGTAGTTTTGTCATGTGTTAATCTCTAATTTACTGCCAAAAAAAGATATACTTACAGTAAGGGTCTATCATTTAATATATAATCATCAGCCTCAAATAAGCAAAGATTTCACTTGATCTCAACCCCACTGATACTCTTTGGGATGTAAAAAAGAAACTTACCTCAAATATTTGATGATTTAGTCTGTGTTTGTGTAGATGAGGTCCATGTGGAGGATGTGGGGCCCCTGCGCATGAGGATGCGTGAGCGTCTGCTGTGGGACGAGCCGCTGCAGATCTCCTGGCTAATGGAGGCAGAGCCGTTCACCTCCTCCCTTCAGACGGGGGGTCCTGTGGCGGGCGCCAACATGACTCTGGAGCAGAAGACCACTTTTGCCTTCGTCATCTTCCTCTTTGTCTTCCTCTGCATGCTGATCGTGCGCTGCTTCCGCATTCTGCTGGACCCCTACCGCAGCATGCCCACCTCCACGTGGGCAGATGGTCTGGATGGCCTTGAGAAGGGCCAGTTTGATAACACCCTGGCATAGAGGACAGACAACTCATGCATTTACATGCTGTAATGAAGGCAAACAATCATTTCAGTTGATTGCCAAACATCCCAAAGTGATCCGCAAACACATAACACTGTAGATTACATACAAACAGAACAGCCATTTTTTGTACGAACACAGACTTTTAAGTAAGGGATAAAGAACATCCAGGCGGTTTTTATCACAGAATAAAGCATGACAGGTTTTAGTCTGTGAAATAAAAGTCCGGATGTACTTTATCTGGCTAAGTACATGGCTACTTGTCACAAAATGTAAACCTTGGAAACAAAACATTGTTTTGAGCCATAATAGTTTATTAAATCTTAATGAAAGGCAAAGCTGACAGGAATGAAAACGGCTGAATGGAGCATACACTAATCTACATATTATTCAGCCACAAGATGGTGCCACACTGACAGACAGTCATACATATTTATGTGAATGCATTCACTGACAGCCAAGATCAGGCCCGGATTGGCTAATCGGGAGGACCGGGAGAATTCCTGGTGGGCCGGTCCATTTTTTGGGCATGAGGGCCGGTGTCCCTAGCTCCAGAATCTGTTGCTCTCAGCAGTCACACTTTTTAAATTCATTTATTTATTTACTTGACCACAGTCTTCTTATTCATAATTTTATCGCAGCTCTGCTCTTTTTATATATAACCAGCCAGCAGGTTTATGATGACATAACTCAGATGAGTCACTTCTCATTATACAACTGCTGTGGTCCAGTGGTTAGCACGTTAGATTATGATGCTGCCAGCCCGAGATTGATCCTTGTCTTACTATGTTATTTTTATTGATAAGACATATAATACTGTTAAGTTTGTTGAACATTTGAAGTTCTAAAGAAGCTGTTATATAATAGGAAATGACCTTATTTTAATATAGTCAGTCGTGAACTGAGGTGGGCCGGTCTGAGGCTTGAAACTCCAGGCCTGAAAAGGAGTCCCACTCCAGCCCTGGCCAAGATGATTCCTAGTAACCGGATGAGCCTGTGTTTTTTGGTTCATCGGTTGTTATCTTAGAATAACATCGCTTGGAATGTCACGACTGACCAATTAGAGTCAAGTATTACAGCTGTGTAATAATGATCATTTACATGCACACACACTGCGATCACTGCCATTCACATATACAAATGAGTGATTCAGAAAATGATTGCGCAGTGCTTTATTACAGATCAAATGAATCTCAAGCTCCTATTGGCGCTGGGACACAGGGTAGCCCTCTTTATATTCTCTAAATACAACCCTTGTCTTCTCATATCCGTGCTGTCGTTAACTGCCAAGTACAAATCTCTCTTTTCGAAATTTATAAGCACTTCATAAACACTTATGACGCTTTTGTCGAAGTAGCCTTAAAATGTGCACTGTAATCGGCCACTGTCAAAGTTTACATGTTTCATTGCAACCTACTGCAGTGCTTCTGGTCACATTCTGGGCCTTTTTAGAAATCTTTGGGTGATGTTAATAGAGAGTTAGGATAGGCTATTAGATAAGTTGTTAAATCATTGTGTGCACTTCACAGATTCTGTACATTTGAACTATTATTCATAGTAGGGATTGCAGGATTTGTTAGCCTTAGCACAATAAATACTATGGTCTTTGACCACATCTCTACCTGTATTTTCATAGGCTGTAGTTTCGTAAGCCTTAACATGTGAAGCTGCTATGAAGGTAAATCTGTTGCGTAACTCGAGAGCTTGCAAATGTAAATGTGAGCACTTGTGATAATAATATTTGTATGTGTAGGTTGAAATGTACACTTACAGCTCTGATGTGAACAGCTGCATCCCTCGATTTGCACACACACACAACAATCCACACACTTGTGTTTTAAATTGGAAGTTGCAGATTAATAGTTGTGTATTTGTAAAATGTCATTTACAAATACAAAATGACAGACACACGTGTGCACGGCAAATTTGATTGCATCTTATCTCTACAACCACAGGTCGGCACTCACAACCTCTCAGTTTCGTCAGTACAACTACAAATCTCCCGCGCTCTGACTTTTGCTACACATCTCCCGCGATCTCTGTAGCAGAACTCATCTGTGCACTTGCAATTGCAGAGGCGTGAGCAGCGCGGGGCGGGGGAGGGGCGGGGCAGGTGTAAAGCTGTTTGATTGGCTGATGCCTGACCAATGAACAATGCCAGCAGCCAACAGGACTGAGGTGCAAAAGAATCATTTCCCACGATTATTTTATTATTTAGGGTTTATTTAAACTCTTTTCTGAAGAGATTCTTGTTAAAAATCATAAATTCTGTGGAAATGTACATACCAGTAAAAGAGCAGCAAAGCCAGTTTATTGGCTAGAGCCAGCCAATGAGATGGGGCGTTTCTGTTTGTCAGGACACAGGGCAGCTCACGTTGTTGGAGGCCTCGAGCAATCAGAGGGTAAGTTATGATTTTTAATAATTATCTATATGTTCAATACTGTTAGCTAAGCTAAGGACTGTGCTAGGTGCTTCTCTAGTTTGTTTTTTTATATAAGAAAACAGTTATGAGTTATGTAGGAGTTGCTTTCTATCATGTTATATCGTTCTAAAGATACAATTCAACCCACATGAAATAAGTTGTAATAGTATTTATAGTAAATAATATTACGTTTTTGAACCATACTAACTATAGTAAACTGTATTATACTGTATATACTGCAGTATCTACAACTTTGTTAATGAATGCAACAGCACACTGTAATATTAACTAGCATGAACTTTAATAAATTGAAGTATATATATATATATATATATATATATATATATAGCTTAAATTTGATAAGATTGAAATATAGCTATCTGTTTAAAACTAAACATTCTAATGTCATTTATTATGCAAATATCAAGTTGAAACAAATCTGTTAAGAACACATATTTATATGTAAAACCTAATACATTTTAAAGCAGTTTCATTTCTTTCTGATTTATACATCTACATCCATTACATCTGATTTAGGTCCACAACTTGCATCCTTCAACATGATATGTGTGTTTAAAGGAAGAGCAACTAGGTGAGGGAGACAGTGTTCATCGCTCGGCTGAGGGTCCACTTTGAGCATCTCATCTGCAGGGTTAAGCAACATAAGCTGAACAGTCATCATCTCTCTCTATTACAGCGAGCATCAACCAGCTTTACACAATGGCTTGCTTTCTGACCATTAGTAAAGGTTTGAGCAAAGGATTAAAGAGGAGATAACATTTGATGGGTAATGATGAAGTTGGATTTACCACCTCCATCTCATTATGAACAAGGAAAAACCCTGAAATATTTCAATACAAGTAACTAGACATTTGCACTGCACTTATTTGCACTGTAAATTTTATTTCACAAATTAATGTTAAACATTTCCCTTACAGCACAGGTGTCAAACTCAGTTCCTGGAGGGCTGCAGCTTTGCAAAGTTTAGTTCTAACCCTAATTAAACACACCTGATCAAACTAACTGAGTCCTTCAGGTTTGTTTGAAACTTTCACTTAAGTGTGTTGAAGCAGGGTTGAAACTAAAAACGTGCAGGGTTACGGCCCTCCAGGAACTAAGTTTGACAGCCCTACTTTACAGTAAAGTGTAAAAATACTACATTAAACAATTATCAAAATAAAAGTTGTGTTTGTGGGTGAGTGTGTGTTTTGTTCAAATCTGTAGTCATCTTGGCAAGAAAAAAGAGAAAATAAAGTCGGCTTCCTCTTGAATGATCTGAATCATTTGGAAGTGTTTGTAGATGAGCTGGATCATCATGTCATCTTTAGCATAAATAACATCCTATTCAAGCTATGCAGCTTCTCTGAGTTCCTCATCGACTTGAAACATCCTGATCTCTCCTGTCACTCCATCCTTACAGGAAACTGAGAAATAACCTATAGTTAGTAACTTTCATAATTAAAAAAGTGATATAAAGGACACACTGTACACAAACATGTAAATAGATAGATAGATAGCCATGATGCAGGTTATTATAACAAAAACCAGTATAATCAGTGAGAAACTGAAACGCCTAGTGTTATTTTTAATTGCTATTAATGTGTGTGTAAATATACTTTCATTTATTAAAGTTCATGCTAGTTAATACTACAGTGTGCTGTTGCATTCATTAACAAAGTTGTAGATACTGCAGTATATACAGTATAATACAGTTTATTATAGTTAGTATGGTTCAAAAACGTAATATTATTTACTATAAATACTATTACAACTTATTTCACGTGGGTTGAATCGTATCTTTAGAACGATATAACATGATAGAAAGCAATTCCTACATAACTCATAATTGTTATATAAAAAAAACAAACTAGAGAAGCACCTAGCACAGTCCTTAGCTTAGCTAACAGTATTGAACATATAGATAACTATTAAAAATCATAACTTACCCTCTGATTGCTCGAGGCCTCCAACAACGTGAGCTGCCCTGTGTCCTGACAAACAGAAACGCCCCATCTCATTGGCTGGCTCTAGCCAATAAACTGGCTTTGCTGCTCTTTTACTGGTATGTACATTTCCACAGAATTTATGATTTTTAACAAGAATCTCTTCAGAAAAGAGTTTAAATAAACCCTAACTAATGAAATAATCGTGGGAAATGATTCTTTTGCACCTCAGTCCTGTTGGCTGCTGGCATTGTTCATTGGTCAGGCATCAGCCAATCAAACAGCTTTACACCTGCCCCGCCCCTCCCCCGCCCCGCGCTGCTCACGCCTCTGCAATTGCAAGTGCACAGATGAGTTCTGCTACAGAGATCGCGGGAGATGTGTAGCAAAAGTCAGAGCGCGGGAGATTTGTAGTTGTACTGACGAAACTGAGAGGTTGTGAGTGCCGACCTGTGGTTGTAGAGATAAGATGCAATCAAATTTGCCGTGCACACGTGTGTCTGTCATTTTGTATTTGTAAATGACATTTTACAAATACACAACTATTAATCTGCAACTTCCAATTTAAAACACAAGTGTGTGGATTGTTGTGTGTGTGTGCAAATCGAGGGATGCAGCTGTTCACATCAGAGCTGTAAGTGTACATTTCAACCTACACATACAAATATTATTATCACAAGTGCTCACATTTACATTTGCAAGCTCTCGAGTTACGCAACTGATTTACCTTCATAAGCTGCCATCAGGAGAACCGTCATAATGTGAAGCTGACCAACTCATCTGACCCTTTGAGTCAAACGCTTACCTTGAAAATCCATGGTCTTAAGAGATGATCAGGATGAAAGTGTTTTTGGTGGTGTGATGCAAATGCTTCCTTGCTCTGTCGAGTTTTATCTCATTGACGATTCTGATGATTTTCGTTGCACTAATTCATCTGTACCTGCTGTCACTGTGAAAGAGCCAGCAAGCTTACTTAGTAAGGAGGACTTAGTAAAGATGTTTTATTGTATGTGCCACGACAAAGATTTAAAGATTATTCACATGCTCACTTGTGTATGTGCTCTGAAGAAACACTAAATATTGGGGTTGGAGCGAACAGACGGTTTTTATTGATTAACCATTAGGTGCTGCTGCTCTTTAGATGAA